TCCTGTTTTGGACTATCCAACAGTATGCACCTACGACCTTCAGGTTAGAAGGAGAGCTCATTGACCATTTAGCCACTGGGAGTGAATCCAATAACTAATTCACCAATTCTTACTTATGCTGATTCGCCGTATGTAGTACGACCGACTGACAATGCTATCGGTGAGTATCTTTACTCATGCTTAATATGGTGACCGCGGCTGATCACGACTTCCCACTTAGACTCTGGCCAACTTCATTCTGTAGTCAATTACTAGTGAGCAACAGATGAATTTTCAAGTTTCGGCCTGCAAGGGGATTGAAAGTAATTCAGTCTCAACCCGGAGTGAGGCAAAAGACTAATTTTGTCCGATGTGTGGTGCGATTTTGATAGGAAAGACAACAGTCACTTACACCAGTGGTTGAAATGACATTTAGATAACAGGTATGTATGTACAACAGAATATGAGTAAATCTCATGGATTGCTGTTACTAGTCCTATCATAATCCAAACTCCCTTTCACATCCAACCAACAGTCTTGTAAATGTCTAAATTAGTCTTCTAACCAAGGTTATCTAAGGCAGTAATTCTAATCTTTTCCTCTCATCCAAGTGAGTCTTCAAACTGAGGGGAATTAAAAAATCAGATCTTACTATGAAATGCTCAAGTATAATATTATCATTCGGGTTTGTGATGGATTTTGTCCACTGGCATCCAGGGCTGTCTGAATTTCATTGTTACATTATTTTCAACCCATCGATAAGTTACAGTAAGCCCACTAATCGATGTAATGGATGAATAAAGAGAGTATTTAACTTTCCACAGGCTGTTATGTAACTGATTTCTACTAAGCTTTATACTGGAATGCTCTCGAACCACGTGGAATGTTCGTGTACGATTCCCGAGAAACGTGCGCCGAAACCTAGAATTGTTTACTAGCTGGTAGCAAGTCCATTAAAGAAGGAGGTTGAGCAAGATGCTGCCAACCCTGTCCCGTAAAAAAACACCGCTAGTGAAGCTTGAAGCCCTGGGTTTCACTGGAAACGCAAAGGAATGGTAAAAAAACTAAGTGTAACTCGGTCAAATATGAACTCCATCTTAAAATTATATCTTTTTCTTTGAAAATACATCCAACTTAGTTACTTACTTACTACCACAGTACCCAAGTTTTACACATATATTAACATACCACTTTGGTTGGTTTAGGTAATAATGTAAATGCTGCCTCCCAAGAGAGAGTTGCTATGATCACATATTTTTCTATAAGACATCAAATACCTAATTCACAATTATTCTTAATATTAAATACCAGAAACAATCATTTAGTGATGCTTCAAAGTTGGAATAATTCCAGAGAGGATTGCGATAGTACTTTAATGCTTTGGTGGTTCCATACACAGTCTACTGTATCGAAACATAGTCTTTCTATCCTTCCTTGTATATATGTCATGATTCATTAGCAAGTAACTAGAACTATGTTTATAAGGTGACTTTAATTAAATCAAGTCATTTTTGTTCTCCAGACGAATAAGAGTTTCCTTCACATGTAGCTAATAGTTTTTTTTAGTTTTTCTGCTTATGTTGTTTCTTTCTGAGGTGAAGTTGTTAGCCCTACATCCACCCTTTCCTTTTTACTGGACTTACTACTGGCTAAGCGAGGTTTAGAAGTGTGTCAGCCGAGGACTGAAATGCGACCATGTGAGTGGTTGGCGAGAGTTCTACCCCTGAACCACTGATCCATTTATCTATTTGTATATTTTATAAGTGTATATTCTTCAAGAGTTGGCTTGTAAGGATTCGATTTGTTTTTTCGAGTTTGACCACGGAATGATATCAGTTATATCCGTGATCAAACTCGAAAAAGTAAATGTGTATTCATTCACGCATATCATGATTATATTTAGTGGATTACGTTTCGAACAACAGTATGGAATAATATACAACTGCAGTGGTTAGGTTTATTTACTCATAGAAATAACCTGCTGTGAGTGACGACCTACTTGAATCAGTGGGCTACCTTAATTTCCATTCAATATATTGCATCGAATTTCCTCTATGGCTTTTTGTTTAAACTATTCAGTTATGTTCTTCGGTCGAAAAATGTACTCACACATATTTTTAACTGGTTTTCAACCTAACTCTCTGCATTTCTCGATGGATATTATAGAAAATTATCATAGAGGTTTGGCTTGTGCTACAGATCAAACAGAATTTCATTATGCGATACACTAACGTTTATCATTTTATCTGAGGATTCTGGAAGAAGAGAATATATATTAAGAAGTGAATTATGCTGAAAATTTTGTACAATGTTTAAACATTTGTCTAGATTAAGCATTACTTTCTGGCTATTTTCATAATAAAGACTTTCATAAATGAATGGGCATTTGTTGCTAAATAGATTATTGTCTTTTGATTGAAAGATTGGACATCCCAACCCTTCTGAATCCCAGTTATTTACAGACATGGACAAATTGTCCGGTTCAGAATTAAAAGGATTTAGTGTAAAGACTGAGAAAAATAGCTCAGTAGTGATTAAACACAATGGAAAAACTCCTGTTAAAATGATAGCTACCAGCAGAATCCAGGATACGAGTTTCTTCATCTCCTGAACTCGTCAGCCGGATTTACTTGCATCCACATAGGGTCGGTCTAACCAGTTGTCTTCTATTTATCAGTGTTATACCTGTGACACAAGAAAGACTCAAAATTCAATCGTTAGGCCTATAGCTCAATGATACTATTTGGCCTGATGACCATAATGATTAACAGTATGGAGCATTAAGGTTTTTGAAGTTAACACTGAAGATTTTATCCATAAAGACAATGACAGCGTAAAAATTAAAGTGTTCAACTTAAGAAACACAACAACACCTAAGACCTTCAAGTCACGGGATGAAGATCGTTGACCATCCAACCACTTGGGCTGGAATTCAGTGACCTGTTAATTTCAACTTTTGTCAGTTTGTGATATAACACTACCCTGAACCAGTTTCAGGGCGTCCAGCCAGTAGCCGTCAATGAGCTGGAGATTAATATTTAGACTATGGAAATTTGTTGTGATCTGGATTAATTTCAGTGTAGATTTCGTCATGTGTCCCCTGATTCTCAATGATCTCTAACTGATGTCAGTTCGTGACGAAATTTACACTGAAATTAATTCAAATCCTTACAAAAACTGATTATTTAAAAATGGCAAAGAATTAGTAGAATTATGATGTAAAAGGAAAATACGTAGAGTTTTTCACCTGTGAGTACAAAGATGCATACCTGTCCACGATGACAAACAGTCCCTTGCTCCACTAATTACGAAAATATCTTCTTTTCAGTTTTTTCACTGATTTCCTTCATTCTTTGATTTCCAAGTGGAAGGCAGGACTTCAAGTTTTGAGGCTTCCTTGGCAATCATGTATTCTAGCCTCGCACCCAATCTTCTGTCTGTCATTGATTTATTAGTACAGAATATCACATTCCAGAAGACTACACAGTTGTGCTAGACTCGGTGTAGACTATTTTCACCTAGTAAGACAAATAACCCAGTTAGATTTCCACTTCAGACACTGTATTTTCGGTTGAGTATTCATGTGGATAGAAGAATCAGGCCACGATTGCTTCTTCCTTCTCTTAACAACACCAAATATTTACGATATTATTTGTTTACCCTTGTAAACCGAACTTATCAGGCTGATTTCGGCACCTGAGCTCTCCGAACGGATTCCTCTATATCACCATTATTTCTAAATTGAAATTACATGCGGCTTACAGTGGAAACGAAGACGCGAGTTTCTTCCTGTTTGACACAAGTCAGATGGATACATCTGCAAAGCGGTGAATGGTGATGTCCCCATGGAAACTCGATGATGAGTGCTGGGTTCGAATCTCAGTCATGTGTGCAAATACATTGATCGAAAGAACTGAAACGTGAGTGTTGAATTTCACTGAAAGCCATCACCAAGCAAATAACGTCAATCATTTAGACTAAATACTCAAACTAATTAATTGTAAAAGACGGAATTACACTTTTTAAAAGCTGCTTTACAAAGGGAAAACGAATGTTTAAATTTCAATGTAGACTTCGTTAGGAATCACCACCAGCTGGAGATCATTAATGTCCACACAGTACTAGACAGCTACTTCACCCCAGTCTGAAACTCCTCAGCAGTGAGCCACTGGGGGCCACCGTGTCACAGTGAAATGGATGCTCATCGAAGGCATTCGTTATAGGTAGCGCTATATCACTAATAGATAAAGTTAGAATTAGCAGGTTTTTAAATTCAGGCCCAGGTGACTGGATAGGCATTGAGCTCGGATTCGTAACTGAAATCTGTCAGGCTCGATCCTTGGTGGGGTCGTGGGTGTGCACTGTTGAAGAGTCTCAAACTAGGACGAAACAACTGTCAAGTACACCTCAGTTTTCAATGCTCTGTAACTGATGCTGGTTGATGACGAAATCTACATTGAAGATAATTCAAATCCCCACAAAAACTCATAACCTAAGTGTATAAATCATTTATTTATTTATTTATTCAAATTTCAGTAATCTTCAAAACATGAATTTTGATTGGCACAAGGTGGATTAAAGTGTTCTAGTTATGTATACACATGTGATTTCACATGTTATACATATTATGACTCCGCGAATCAACTACCACACTTGTTTATACTGATTTCATACCCATCTGTGATACAAAAACCAATATTTTCTTCTCTTCTTTTTCATTCTATCCAATCATTTCTCATCCCTTATTAAATAAAGATGAGAATTTATTAGCCAATCAAAATATTAAAAATAGATGTATATGTGTGACCATTGCGGAAATGTGTCATAGAATGTTGACACAGTTAAAAGTAGTGGGTGACAGAAGGGGATAGGGGTAAGAGTAAAGTGTAGCTGTAGGATAAATTTTAGTTGTAATCATCACCACCACCACCTCTCCTCTCTGAATGTTTTAAATCATTTGATTTAATGCATTGTATATTGTTTGTCATTACCATATAGTAGTGATAACAGACACTAAAGGAGTTCCACTTGCGAAACACAGCTGCATTTATTTTTAACACTTTCCTTTGACGGGATTAAATAACTAACTAATTGCACGGGGAATAACTGAAGGTAAACATAGTATTTTCATTATGAGTTAATTCGATTTTGTATCTTCCTTCTTACGGTACTACTGAATACCATGATAGCTTCAATAATTTTCTTCATTATTTTGTATTCCGAGTGGAACATAGGGCTTCAAGCTTGATCTGTGAAGTTCCAGTAAGAGCAGTATTGTTCTAGCCCCACCATCAGCCAGGCAAGGTATAGAAGAGTGTTGACCGGGAATCGAACCCGAACTATGTGAGTGGTTGATGAGTGTTCTACCACTGAATTGCCGATCCATTTTCAACTGCGTTGATTATAATTTTCTCTTAGTTGTTTTGCACAAGTGTGTTTATGTATGACTTCTGAAAGATAATTCTTATAACTACCGAAATTAGTGTAGAAGTAGCATATACACGTCAGAAATGCAGAAGTTTTTAATATTAGATACCAGTAACTTTTATTCAATGGTGACTATCTGTCTGATCCTAACTGCTGGCGGAAATCTGTCATTCAAAAGCGTAATTATATCAGTATATCTAGTGACACAGTGTTTCTGTACACTAGGGCATACTTTATCCAGATGTGGGATACTAAAACTAGTCAGTCTTGATTGGGGTTCATTCTTAGTCTAGAATTCAAATGGTCCTGATTGTCTGTTATTCAATTTCGAATTCAGAGACTGCACCACAATGATATTTGATTAAGTATTGACCCTATTGTTAACGCTGTTTATCAGCACTAAGAGCCACATTTTAATTAATGTCGCAAGCTTTTTTGAAGAATTCATTGACTGTCTGCAGTTATTAACTGATATTAAAGCTCGAGTAATTCTTTTAATCATTTTTTCAAAACTGATGTATTAATGGACTCAAGTTAGTGAAGTCAAATGACATGGCCTATTTAACCTTCAAAGCTAGCTAAAAGTAATTAGAAATTTTTCCACTCTTCAACACTCATGTCAAATTAATACTAAATATTGCCTTGTTTTTTTTCTTCTTAAAACTGCCGTTGATACAAAATTCTCATATAATTTATCTAACATCCAGATTAATTGACTTTACATAGGGATTTTATCATGAGTGAAATATCGAGTACTTAAGGGGAGTTTTAAATTTAAGTGAGTCCCACAATTACTGCAATTATGGTAGACTACGTAACATATTTGAATCAATGATGTAACAGGTGGTTACTAGACTTCCAAACTTTGAGTCACAGCAGATTTTGAACCAGTTGTCTGTGAAGTAAAAGATCCAGCTACCGACAAGATATTAATATCTCTTTTTTTGTCCAGTCACCTTGTTAATTTGTTACTAGCATTATTATGGCTTGTTCCAAGAATTGGAAGTGTTATTCTTTGTAATGGACGCTTTTTGTGCGGCATCATGATTCGTTCATTCAAGAGAAATCATAAATTTATACGACAAATCTATTTTAAGGTGCTCGATTGGTTTCAAAGTGGGATTCGTCATGAACCAAAATCACTTAAAAAACCAGTGCGAACTACAGAGCTCTGGACCACTGTTTCCTCCTATTCAGAGACTCTCCAGCAGTGCACGTCCATTGTCCCATCGGGGATGGAACCCAGTACCTTCAGGTTACTGGGCAAGCCTGTTGATTGTTTATCTACTAGATTGATATCCCGTAAACTTTAAATTTTAACTTCTCTCATTTCGAAGAATATAGTGTCTTCGTCATCGGATGTCATTCGTGGGTATCTATGTTCACACCTGACATGATAGTTCTCTCAGCATAAGTTTCTTATTAAAACACTAAGACATCCTTCCCATAGTCAGTCAGTAATGAGCAGTGGTTTAATTTTCAAGTGTTGTATTGTAGTATACACATTCTAAAAAAAGTAATTCACTTAAATAATATGAAGGACTTATCACTAATCTCTCTAGCCTACACTTGTGTCTGAACACATAACTAGGATATTTTATTTAGTTTCAGTTTGTATTAGAACTGAAAGAAAGTGAAGTCATTCATATAATGCATGTCTTTCCTAGAAAATTTCGTGATAACTTAACAGTTTTTTTTAAAAACGAGGACAGATTGTTTAGTCTCCACTTATTAATGAAGGAACGAAATATGCTATAATTGTGAGTAGATTCACAGATTTCATAATGAACTGAGAACCCTCAGGTTACAAGGATAATATATTACTATTCAATTACTGGTTAGGAATATAATGGTGCATGAATTCCAACTTCTGTAAGTTCGTTCTTCAATACCTGACCAGAGGATGAACTTGTTCGAGACGTAACCGACGGGGCCAGCCATGTTGCATGTGAGGATAGATACTCACTGGTGATATTAGATGGCAGTGACACCATATCGTCTGGACTGACAGAAGTTAGAATTCAAAGATTACTGAATTTCAGTTTGATGGCTGAATAATCAACTGGCTGGCCTCGTAACCTGAAGATGGTGGGTTTGATGCGTGATGGAATCGTGAGTGTGCACTGTTGGAGGATCCCAAAGTAGGTGGAAACAGTTGTCCAGTGCTGTCTGGTTTTCATGAAAAAATTTACCTTTAAATCATCTCAACTTCTACATCCCAATAGTTTATAGTTATATGAATTCTGTGTAGAAATCATCCTATTAGATAAAATGGGTTCATAACTCTGGAGGGTATATCTTAGGGAGTCCACATATTTTAAATTGATTTCATACTGGGAACTTGTTATCCACCTATATATTTCACCATTTTTGCAATCCATCTTTGGGTCTCTTATTTACTGTTATTAGATTCATTATTTAGAAGTTACAACTCATTATTATGCTTTCTGGAATTCAAGTCACCTGGTCTCCTAAAAAATTAATCTCTGACATGAACTTCAAACGAACACATTTGTAGACGCTAGTTCATTTCCTAGTAATTATTACAAAAATTATGAAAACCGGTGTTTTTTTATACAGTACATTAGTTGAGTAGACTAAGCATCTTCTCGTTTGTGATAGTTGGTGTGAAGGTTAGACTATAATCCATAGAGGTGTGCAAAGCATTATAGTCATGTTAAATAAGGGAAGTTAAATTTGTAGTTATAGTTAACACTTCTTAACTAAAACAAAAGAACATACCAGTTTGTTATTTAAAAAGTTTGTTAATTTATTTTCCAGACAGCAATCATTGCCACTCTTGTTATTTGCTATTATCAACGTCACCAAAATCATCGCTACTGAAGTCTTCATCGGAAGAAAAATGGAGGATACCGGAGATCTGTCAAAGAAGACCACTGAGACACTATTTAATTCATACCGTACAAGTATTACCCCGTCATCTTCAGACACAACAACCCGTTCACTATCTTCGATTATTAACACTTCTACTACTACTACTAGTAGTAGTACTAATATTAGCACTTCATTACAACAAACACCATGTTTGTCATCACATCCAATATTCAATTATGATTTTGCTTCAACAGCCTATAAAGAATGGTTGTGTATTATGAATCAATTACATCATAGCACAACAGATTCACACCAGTTCCCAAATCTATCGAAATTTAATCAGAATTATCTTGGACTAACTGAAACAACGACCAGAACAACAGTGAACACACAATGTTCTTCACCACCCCTCACAACAGAAAGTAATGCTACAAATTCATCTATAAACAGTTTGACTAAATTGATGAATAGAACAAGTGACTGTATAGATAGTCTACCAGAAAATAAGATGCAGTCTGCTTTAATTAATCCTAATAATTTAACATCGCAATATTATTATTACTACTATTATTATGGTTTACAAAATGCGCAAAAACTACTTCATTCTCAACAGAATACATCAATGAATAATAATATGTTACTGGATAAAACAAAACTTAATGAAACATCATTATCATCATCATCGTCGTTATCATTGAATACAGATGAAAAACAAAATTCATTGAAACATCTAACAACATCATGTACCGCAGTTTCAACAACTTTAACTAAATGTATTGATGCCAATAGTCATTTATATTCTTCATCGAAATATTCGCCTATTCTGTTTGAAGGTAAATTAATTATCACTGTTGGTATTTATTTCTACAAGAAGTTGGTTGGTACATAAATATTACTTTTTATTCAATATTCATGTTGACAACAATAATAAGATCAGTTGTGTAAAATAAAATAAAGTATCTTGACTCTAAGGTATGCACTCCGGATGGTGCGTAGGATATCATAGGATCTAGATTTCGTTTATGGAGTTGGAATTTAAACTGTCTATGAGATTCGAATCCATATTATCCAGTTCTAAAGACTGAAATCAGCATTTTGTGGGATTGGTTGCTGATTTGAAATTATCTGAAGGTGAAATGTTTAATCGCCATAATTCTGAACTCTAAACTGTGTCCTAGGAATAATCCAGACACCTATAAATAGGCTAAAGTGACTACATAGTGCTGCATATATTTTCATTAGGAATTACAAAAAATAGTCAAATTCGTATTTAAAATTTTCAGTTATGACATCTGATCATTGGATGCATGATGGATTAGTTATAGAAATACTTTGGAGGTTGTCTTCGTGCTTGATAAAATATAACAGACTCTTGACCAAATTTAAAACAAAAACTAATGCTGCGAAATGGGTCAGAATTAGAGACCCCTCACTGGATGGCATCCTGCTGTAACAACTTGGGTTTCTGTTTCAATTCCAATCATCAGAACATAATATCATCTAAAGTTTGCAGAATTAAAGTTATCAGCATATTAAAAGGTTGACATTTTAAATTTGATGTTATTCTTTGTTGGGAGACGTATAACGTGCCTACTGTGGGTTGTGGTGTGCATCTTTATTTTTTTCTCCCGTAGATATAATGGGGATTTGTAGCTCAGGTGGATGATTTTTATGTGATTGTGCTCTCTGAATTAGATGGTTTAGTTGCGAAACTAAAAGCTCACTTCAAACTTAAGTATACGCTGAGAATGTTGTCTAACAAAAGAGAATAAAAGCTTCACAACTAAACCTGCTCAGAGAACACAACTACACCTGATATTTCTCTTTTATCTGGATATAAAATATGCATGCTCCAGTGTATAGCCAAGACACTAGGAAACAGTTTTCATTATTATCGAAAGCTATAAACCTCTACTATTTGATTTACAAGTTAAACAAGGATCATACTCGATAGTTTATGTACATTCGTTATGGAAGTCATCATAACTGCACACCATTATAAGTGACGAAATCTGTTGTGAATGTGTGAAAAGGTGTCTAAAAACTACCATTTGTTACCTTGGAAATACATCAAGCGAATGGGATATGATTTACTTGTTGACTTATCCTTTGTTCTTTTTTTTATTAGGTAATCATGTATAACAATTTTAGGAATGGTTAAAATCACTTTAATTATTCATGTGCTAAGTAAACACATCAAAAAGTATCAAACATAGCTCACTTTTAATTGATGGTGACTACCAGTCGAATCCAGGATGCACACTTCTACCCGTATGGTACTCATCATCTGGATGTACCTGCATTCTTAAAGAGTGATGGTATTTCTTCTGAAACTGGAACCCGACATCCATCGTTTCAAACACCAAAGCGCTATCATCTACTAGGCCACACCACCAATCCCTAGGAATGGAAGTACATTCAGGTGACAAGTCCAAAGTAAGATGAAATGCGTATCGTGAACTCTACCGCTAGTCACCATCTACTAAAATAACCTCACATCAATCCTGGGGCATCGCTGGAGCGTCCGTACTAGGAGCCAGTATGTCAATCGAGACCTAACACTTCGGTTCAACATAATCAATCAACGAGAAATGCAAATTAACTTAAAAATAAATAAAACATCACTTTGCAACCAGTTTTCACTAAATTAGATAAAATGAATAATCATTTAATGGGTTCTAGATTTCGACTGATGAAAACTTGCAAAATGGTATGAAAGAGCCGTTCCGATCAGTTCAGTAGAAGGCAGTGGCTCGTAATAAAATCTCCCACAAAACCTTTAAATATGATAATAGAGAACTTCTTGCAGATATGAATGACGTTCATTTTTAGCAAAGCACACTTATGAACAGTGCTAAGCTGTTCTTTGCCGTGATTTGGAATTTATAGTTATTATGGGTAACCTTATGTGACTAACTAAAGTTAACTTCGAAATTGTCTCTGAATTATTTGCTATGTTTTACACTTAAAATAGTTTCATCACACACAGCAGCTGAAAAATGCGAGGATTTCTGTTTCGGTGTGAAGCAGTTTTAAGAGAACAGCACACTCTTTAATTAAATTCCAGCCTACACACTGAGATTATAGTATCACTATTTTAGATTGATGTAAACCGAGTAGCAGGAGGTGTACATGTTTCTAATAGCATTTTATAAAAATTTCATCTATTCACCTTGCACTGAATCATTTGTTTTGTTTTGTTTTTTAAAATATTTTATTCTAATGAAGGTCAGGGAAGAGTCAACCAGCTAGGTGGTATGTTTATCAATGGTAGACCATTACCGTATGAAACACGTCTAAAAATAGTCGAATTATCTAGCAATGGTATTCGTCCATGCGATATATCAAGACAACTGAAAGTATCACATGGTTGTGTGAGTAAAATTCTTCAACGTTACAGTGAAACAGGTGAGTGACCTAATTAAGTGTATTGATACATTATGTTTATGATGCAGTTTACTGTAAGATAAACAAATTATGCATAAGTGCTGGTGAATACAGTCTATGTCAGAGGAATAAGCCTTTCTGTAATAGTTTTCATTTGGAATCGTGTACTGAACAAGTTACCAGTATGAAATGGAGAAAACATTAAGTCAAGCTATATACACCTCACTTTTCTTCGTCAATATATAATATCAGTGTTCCGTGATAATTTCTCTCTGAATATTTCAATGTAACTAGCTGAACTCCAATGACGTGGACAAATAGTAATGTGTCTACCTTGCTGTCTGTTGGTTTTATTCCCATAATCACATGAAGAACTTCAGTTTAATGTTTCCTAGTTTTCGATAATTTACTAGGTGATATCTAATCATCGCGAAAATCCCTCTCACAAATACACTTTCAACTGAATTCTACAGTGAAATGTAGACTAAAGTGTAACTAAAGCCAGGCACTTGAGAGTACTACATTCATATAGTAATTCTAACTGTAAAACACTCGAAAGACATATGAAGTATTATTATATTATTATTCCTTCAGGTTCCAAGTGGAACATAGGGCTTCGACAGTACATAGTCGTTTCATCCTGTTCTCTTCAGTTGTCTTTGGCTGGCTCTGCGATTCTCCATAAGTTCTCATCTCCTCCTCACACAATTAGCTCCATGTGACACTCGGATGCCTTCACTCATCGTTTCCAATTTGGGTTCGACTCGGCGGCTTACCTAGCGTGTAATTTCACTCAACAGTCCTCTCAGAGTAAGTCCAAACCATCTTCATTTCCTTCAACCAATTTTTTGGATAACTAGTTCTTGGTTAGTTCATTCACAGAGTCCCTTGTTGTTAGTACTTTCTGTCAGGTCATCTAATCTTCAGCAGTGAGACACTGAACATAGACGTTAAAAACATTCTGTAGCCTGTTACAATTGCTTTTGGTAACATGCAGAAGCACTAACTTCGAATCGTGTTCTTCTTCTTTTGTGTGCAGTAGATTTCTAAACTGATTTCAGATTAATAAAACTTTATTTTGCCTTTCCTGTCCTTGTTGTTCATGACATCCTCATCTGTGTCGCCTGTAGTTGAAACGATGCTGTCTAGATAAGTGAAAGAGGTAACTCACCCCCAGTTTCTCTCGCTGATTGTGGTCGATGCCTATTGTTGTTGGTTAGGTATTTTCATTACCGCTATCTTCTCTGTATCCACTTGAAGTTCTGTCTTCGCTGCCTATCTCTTCTGCCAGCTTATTGGTTTTAACCTATAAGTCTTCGAATTTGTGTGACAATAAAAAATCAGTCGTCCATGGATCAAGGTATTCCTGTCTTCTCTTTCATCATAGTCTGCCGTATGTACCAGTCCACTACAATCAGGAATATCATTGGTGATAGTAGACAGCAGCGTTGTCTTACTTCTGTCTTCACTTCAAAGGCTTCTTCGCTGAGCTTTCCATTTTGAATCACTTGACAGGCGTGTTAAGAAGTTATTGGACAGTACTACGCTTTTCACTCTTGAAGTATATGCCAGAGTCAACACTACTATCGTCAGGTTAAATGATAGAACACTTCGGTTTCATACATCTAACAATAAACATTTGGAGATAATTAGGAGGACATACTATCTAGTTAAACCTTCATCCTTGGTGATTACTTCTCATCAGCAAGACAATTTTAAAACTCCAGATATTCAGAACTGCAACTATTGGTTAAGGTTTCAGTCCCCTAATGTGTATACTCAACTCGTCATTTACGCAATTTTACTTTACAAATGAAACACTGAATTTCTCAGTGTACACAAGTGATATTCCCTCATTGACTAAATTTCCTTGTTTATAGGCTTATTTTCTTCGCATATCATAAAGTGTATTGTGAAACAACTTAAACAGTTTTTAGAGAATAATTCTTATTACAATTTAATTCGATTTTCATTTTGTTTTAACTCACTAACTTATGTTTGCTTGTTTTTCTAACTGCATTACTTTCACGCTCAATAGATGAATGAATACAGAGTGTGACATGAGTATTTGTAAATAATTTAAAAATATGATACATTAAGTGTTAAAAGTTACCAGGTTAGCATCTTAAATGATACAATCCTGGTGCATATCTCATGTGTGCGTATTTGCCTGTGTGTGTATATATAGAGGGGAGGGGGAAGGTATTAGTTAGTATGCATAACGTGAGAGAATGAACTTGCAGTTGGCATATTAGAACCAGACTAGTCTGAGAATAATGTAAAGCGAAAATAATGTTTTTCTGACACAGTTTCATAATGAATTAACTGGTTGTGCGGAAAAGTACTGATGCAAATAGCGTTTTTATTTTTCACTGACAAGAGATAGAGAATCATTATACTTGTTTCACTCTAGTTTACAGTTACTCAAACTGAATTTAAAAGTCTAAGGTGTTACAGCTTTCAGTTTACAATCGAAACCTAACGTACCAGACTTTTAAGATGTCATAGGTTTATGGCATTCTGGTCCAAAAGTCTTCTCAATTATAGTCCGTACTTTTTAGGGTGACTGGTTTATACTGGACAGATATACTCAATCTCAGTAAACCTATCGACTGCAAGTATTTCCGTAAAATAGAAATCAGTCAACCCGGAAATTCAAATCAACGTAAATAAGTTACAGCTGATAGCTGCTGTAAAAGAAGTTGTTCTGATGGCCTAGTAGGGTATTGGATAATGCTTTGGCGTTTCAGGCAGTGGGTTCAGTGTTACAGTCTCATTGAGAACTCTACCACTCACTAGGAAATGTAGGTAGTCAAGAGAAAAGAATAGATGTCACACCATAGTGACCTTGGGCTAGCCGATGTAGTATTTTAGTATAAAAAGTATATTCACAGCATATATATATATATATATAATAAAAATGAATTATATAGTGTATCTGCCTCTAGCATGCTGCAAGAGTAGGTCCCATTTTTTAATAGGAGTGGTTACAGACATACAGCTGTAATCCGTATTTTTTCTGTATCTTAAACCATTCGATGGAATTTGTATGAGTACCAAATTAGGATCCACTAATCCTGATGAATGCTTTACTTTATTGTGAATATATCCTGATGATGACAGCCACAGAGCTCAACATTTCAAATGGATGCTGTCCATAATTTTCGTTGCAGTTTTAACCATAGCCTTACCCCAAGCCTAACCCTAAGGCTAATCTAGATCTAACCGTATCCTACTCTAACCCTAACCCTAAATCAAGGGAAAACTTACAGCAGATGCTATGAAAAGAATCCTTTGGCCATGTTGAGCTATGTGATTGGTTGATTCTAGGTCATTTGGCTGTGGTATCTATTCTTTACTGTTGTCTGCAGGTATATAATCCAGTCATCACATCGGACCAAATATGAATGCACCCATCAGAAACTGATATATAAAGTACTAATCCTGAGATCTAATAGTCCACAACTCCATCCAGTTGGATGTCATAGGTCTTAAATTAAGAAAGTAAAGATCTTCAAAAGTTGTAGATTAATGATGCGAAATACTGTAAAATAAATCAATTTCCCTTAAACTTTTGAAATAAAATTAAGTCATTTGTCAAAAAAAGTTATGTGAACAGCTATCCAGCCTTCAGTGTTGATGGGAAGCTATTATTTCTAGGATAAACCTTACTAAAACTGAAGACACAAATATTTACTGAGCATATGAACAGTTACTTGCATGACGCCAGAGGAAAAACATAATCTGACAAAACAGTGGGAAGCCTCATAACTTGAGTAAAACTTGATTACCATGAACAGAACAAGACATAATGTTTTATTGGCCGGTTACATAAGTAGGCATCCTATTTTCAGCTTTGATCAGTTTTGTTCCACAGCATTAAAGAATAGGATCGATGAAAGTCTTCGTCAAAATAACTGATAAAATCAAACAAAATATTCTCCCATCAAATTCTAGCAGTCCAGATAACTACCAAAATATTCACCTAACAAATAAGTATACCCTGTAATGGGTATCAATACACCTCAAATCAAAATAAACAAAACCTTTTATCAGTAACACCTATTTTTTATTCTTTTACTTTCCTAGAGGAACATGAGGCTTCAAGATAGAGCCTGAAGTTTCGGTAGCACTGGTGTTTATTTCTACGGGGTATGGTTGCTAGCCTCACACTTAACCTTCCTTCTTCACCGGTCTTATCACTGGATTAGCGAGGTTTAGGAGTGCGTCGGCCGGGGATCGAACCTCAGTACATGTGAGCTGTTGGCGAGTATTCCACCGCTAAACCATTTACACCTACTAATCTACTAAGTAATACAGCAGAGTACATCATATTCTCAAATAGCTTACTTTAAACGGTACTTTGTATTCAGGATAAAACTGTATAGTCAGGCACAGCTTGTCGGACGAATCAACTTCGAGTCCTCATCAGTTAAGAGCATTAAACAATGAACGAGTTCTGAGCTTTTCGATGATTATATTCATCACATAACATACATGTATAATATGTCAACAGCCAGACAAGTGTTCATTTCATCATCAACTCTATTATTATAAGAACTAATACCAATACTATCTACCCTCTATTAAAACATATAAATGGCATACTGACAAGATGAAATTTTAGCGTTAATTTGGTCACATCATAATAGTTTGTATGCTAGCGAAACATTTTATTTCCGACAAAATTTCATTTCACACTCCATCGCTGTTAAATTTATGATGACTCTTTCTTTTCCATTTGATTCGGTAGAACTTTTCTTTCTCTTCTTCTTATTTACCTCCAAATTAACCTTGTCATTATTCCATACAATATCACTTTTTATTCGCCTAGTGTTTAATGAGGTATGAAATCCTCCATGAGAACAGTCAACCATCATGTATGCATGCATGTATATAGTAGATTTGTGTGTACTTCACCCTGTTTGTTATCTTTTACAGACTTGCCTATAATTAAATGGATCCTCCCACTTTAAATACCGGGGAATTGTATAAACTTATTCAATCTCATAACAGATCAATGGATACATTGTTCACTTCTTGTGTGTTTGTTAATTTTCCTCTTTTATTTTAAAATGTACAATCAACCTTGTCTTTAAAAGTGACAAACTAGAATTCAATCATCATCACCATCATCATAAAATAATAATAATGATAATAGTTGGAGCAATTAAATTTTAAGGCATATGTAGTTCATTTTTATGACCTAAAACTTTTGTACGTTGACGTTTTATTGAACACTGAACGTTTGTATACAACCTAACATGTCCCCATTTACATAGTCTGTAATAAGGAAAGTTTTTAACTGAATAATTCAGTTATCATCATTCAATAAATTTCTAATACCATGACATTACACACTACTGACTGATTGAGATAAGTGGTTGAATACCACTCATATCAATCAGTAGTGCTTCCGAACCAGATCGAAATGATCTAAACACTGGGTGGCCATTTCGTTGATTTCGAGTCAAGCTAATCCTACTGTTTAGATCACTTCTAGCTAGCCAGCAAGGAATGCTGGCTGATGTGGTGGTGTCCATCTATTCATATCAATCTATCAGTAGTACGCAGCGTTATGCATTCATGGTATTTATGATATCAAGCAGACTGTATATATCCATGTCTGAATAATATCGTTTTCCTAAGGAAACAGTGGTGAAATAATCACCTGGAATTGTGTAAATTGCAAATGGCATGGAGTGAACATTAGTATGTACCACTTGTAGTATTGATTTCGAGAACCTACTAATACGAAGATGACAGAAATGGAAATATGAAAGTGGGACACAGTAGGATTCAAGACAGTAACGTACATGTTATCAGCCTGCTTTTTATTTCCCTTTGAATAATCGTTAGTCGTAGGAATCCGACTGACAAATTTCCTCCTATTCCGAAGACATCTGCTGAATCTGTCAGTAACCCGTGAGTGGTAGTATTCTCACTGAGATCTAAACATACAGCCCATAGTTTCAAACGTCAATTCGTTATTCGATAAGCTTATTAACCAAAAAAGTCAAACAGTTGCACAACCAGTATCACTTCATTTATTTGCGATTGCTGATGAATTCCGGATGAAGTGATTGACCTTTGTTGTCACACAGGTTCCTTGAGGTGGTCATCTTGCCTCATCAACTCAGTGGATAATGCTTTTATGTACCAGTTTAAGGTTCCAGTGTGAACACAAATAAACTCTTGGTTGCATCTTGACTCAACTGATGTCTCCCCAAGGGGGACGAAACGCGTGTTCTGAATTTCACTACCAGCCACTAGTGAAAAAAATTGACCTTTAACTATATCTTAATGCGTTCTCCGTCACTGAATACAACTGTTTGCCATGTGTCGATAAAAATATACTATCCGACAATAACAAAACAACGCTTATCAGAATGATAATAGTATTAAAATCATGCTGTTAAGAAAACCTTTGTAAGAACACATAACACGTATATAACAACGAGAGTTATTATGCTTTTGGAGTAGAATTTAGAATGCCAACTGAACAAGAAAACACAATCAGGCTCCTGATGTTTTCAATTCTGCAAATACTTCCAATTTATTTTGTGATCTTAGATATTCCTGTTTTTTATTCGTTTACGTTCCCAATGGAACATAGGGCTTCAGGCTACAGCTTTGAAGTTTCAGCAGCGGTGGTGTTTATTTCTACGGGAGGGGGTTGCTAGTCTCATGCCCAACCTTCCCTTTTTACCAGTCTTATTACTGGTTTAGCGAGGTAAGGGTGTGCGTCGACCACGGATCGAACCCCGAACCACACCAGTGGTCGGCGAGCATTCTACCGGCTGTGATAATTCATCAGTTTTATTAGTACACATAACAGATTGGTACTTTCCTGTAGTGAGATTACTTACTGTAAGACTCTTAAGTAGTCCATATCATAATTTGTTTTGAAACTGGATGTAGAATCAGTGACTCACTGTTCTTCACCATCTGTAAATTAATCCTTTCTAATCGCTTTTTTGTTGGATCATTAATGCATGTTCAAACAGACTAAACTTCTAAAATGTATTTATGACCCTTAACAACTTTCTCTCCTTCTCAGGTAGTGTAAGTCCAGGTGCAACTGGAGGAGCTAGAAAACCGAGAACTGGTCACCATCATCAGAATATAATATCAGTATCATCAGATAGCAGCCAGTCAAATAATAATCGATCAAGAAATTTTAATCATAAATATACCAAAATTAATCGCTTTAATTATAAACAAAATAAGGCTGATATTCTGCATAAAAGAAAGCTGAGCAAGTCATCAAAAATAAGACTGTCTGAAACGCGTTGCATTCCAGATCATTGTACTAATCAAATAGGAACACTATTGACTGATTATCCTTCTTCATCATCTTTGGAAAAGACAACAACACAACAACTGCAACATCAACACAGCCCTCAGTATCAACAACAAGAAGCTATAGACTTATCAGTTAATAAAAGACCTAAGTACACCTTGGCAGAAGATGCTTCAACTTCGTCAATAAATAACAGTACCACAATGCATGGTTCTATGCTGTATAATTCTTCTTTGTTTCAATGTCCAAGTAACTACAACGCTGATAATAATAATCTAATATTACTTGTATAAACATTAGAGATATACCTTCAAAAAAATACTTGAAGCATCCTGATACCGATTTGTTGCGTACACAAGTTGGATTGAATTTATCGACTTCATTGAATGATGAAATGCAAAAGTGTAAGTGCAAATCTTGATAATAGTTACCCTTTTACAAATTTCACTCATATTTGTTAACTGTCTTATATAAGCGTCAATAGAAGTAATGTCACTTATTGAAACCACTTTGAATCTCCTGCTGATTAATTTTACTATAACGAAATAATTGGTCACTACTGAAATGTCAGCTCCTATTTCGGATGCTTCTACGACACCTTCAGGTTAACTTAGTGTTATTCGCATCCCAGTTGTAGTTAACGTCAACCAAGATAGCACTAAGAAATGTAGTTAGTGATCTTAAATTTCTCTGTGACTACATGCCAGTCAGTGGTGAAGATAACGCATTGCAGAGCTCCATATTTAGAATTGAAATAGTCATTTATACGCTTCATACGAAATTTTCGACACATAATTGTCTACCTCAAAAACATTCTTTCTGTGTTAAAATAATTTTAAAGGGAAATATTTTAAGTGGAGGTATATGCAAATTTAAGTCCCTTCTGACGCTTTTTTAATCACAATACTGAAACCGACTGTTTAAACTGATTTATAAATGTTTAAATAATTATCAATATTTTGTAATGTCACACTTTTTCGCCTGCATTTCTGCTTCAAACTACTTCAGTAATGGTGAATACCTAGGTTCAACGTATTTTAGGGAATACTAAATATCCTGCAGGCAAATGTATTTGACACCTAATTCTGTAAAGGTATGAACGCCTTTTCATTGTCATTTTATCTACTAGCTAAATTTATGAGGGGTTAGCAAAAATACGAATACCTCATTAGTGGTAAGAATAAACACTCGAAGAAAACGATATAAGAAACTAGTTGTTTAAACGAATATATGTGATTGAACGAAATTTCCCCAGAAATTTAGGGAAGTTTATTTGAAGTTATCGTTAAATCGGACATTCACTGTAAGACATCTAGGAAAACTATAAGTTCATTTTAAGCTTTGTTTCAAGAGCATCAGCTTTATTTTAATAGGAACAAGAATTTTATTTTCATTAAAAAAAACTTTTGGCACATTTCTGTCCCCATAAGACTCCTGATCCATCTACCTACTCAAGCCTACAATGAGTACTTTGCTAAATCATTTTCCCGTATAGACGATAAAACTATTCCCTTTTTTTATAACTCAACTTAATCTATAAGTCATGCAGGCTTTTATTCAGCTATGATATACGGGGGATTACTAGATAGTCATACAGTCCCTCAGTGTTAAAAATATTCTCACTCATTTAACGATTGACTATGTGACGGTGATACACTAAAAATCAATAATACCTGCGAACTTCTTAGGCTTGTAGGAATCTAATTATTCTTAAGGTTGGTTTCTCCACGGATTAACATCAGAGAAGTCCACGGTACATTCACAGTTGATGCAAAAGACTTGTCTCATTGCCATAAAGTTTTATTTTAAGAGAGTTATACTTCAGTTACTTATATTTCCAACTTCTGCTCATTCACAGTTTGAAGGCTGGGGATTCTAATTTCATAGTTAACTGTTCTCACCTCCGACTTGGTAAATCTTACATGATAAGGTTTCTCATTTATGCTTCAGAAGTATATTTCCGAATTAGTCACTAATGGGTAGTAAAGTGACGTTAAAATATTATACTTGTGAACCGAAAGATGAAAGTTACTCACTCATTCACTGAATGGCAAATTTATTGTCTGAAAAGCTGATGGCCCATACTCAATCAACTACAGAGTTATGGATATATGGTGCAGGAAATTCCATAATCAACACATATCTGCTACTTTTATACTCTTTGGTCTTCAAGAATTCTTCCAGATCATATCACTTCGCGACAAAAGCGATCCAGAAGTTCGCTGTTGGTTTTCAACGTGTAGTTAGAATGTAATTAGCAGCTAAACATTTTCGATCACTTTCTGTATTTCTGAGTACAGTTATTCTATGTATTTTCATATTCTAATACCTCTCCGTGATTTCGAAACAGATGTTGCGCCGAATCTTTAATACGAAATATAAAATAATCTAGGTCATTAAAACACAAATGGTTAAATATTCTAATATTCACATTTTTAATTATATCCATGATCAATGCCTAAGTTAGAAGATTACATGTATATATAGTGAACTAGTTATAATGTGCTACTTTTGTTTTTATGCTGAATGCATATGCGAACATCTCCTTTCTTGTGGCCTAAAATGTTTAGTTTCAACATTTGAAACATTGATCAATGTTACCGTTCTCTTTCTCCCTCTCTGCCTATAAAAGTTAATTAACTAATTAGTACAACAAAATAAATAAGGAATTCACTAGACCGTGTATGCACATACTTAATACAAGATTTTGTCATTTCTGTGCTTAACATTTGTTTTATTTCAGTATTCATTCCACCATTACTACAATTAAGGGCTCATTTTTTTAAAAAAAAGATCTGATTGTTCTACTTTATTAATTAACAGTGTTAACTGTGAACACTAAACAAAATGGAAGTTCAGAAAGGCTTCACTGAATCTAAGACAAAACATTCAAAGATTCATTATTGAATAGACAGAAAGTCACCTAATTTCTTACCTCTTGATGGAAGATAAAGAAATTTAAGGTAAACGCGATATATTTTGTTTTCAGGTCGATTTTTCATTTCCTGTTGACTGATTATGTTTGAAATGATGGATGCTGAGTGCGAGACTCAATGGGAATGTAGGTAAGCCTAGTTGACGAGCCTCAAGTGGCGCGAAATGCACACTGAATTCAATGCAGTCGTTCTTCCACTCATCCGGTCATGTTATCGGTATTCTTTAAAATTGATGATGAATACAACACTGAAGACGGGGATTCACGCATGAACTAACTCTTTTTATATTGTTTTATAAAATATTATTTCTTGTATAAACTAGCAATTGAAAGCAGATGAATCACTACAGAAACATAAGACGTACATACACCTGAAGATTGTAGAAATAAAGTCGAATGGGGAATTATTATATTAGTTGTATATATGCATTGTTCGTTTATCTGAATATTCAATCCACTCAATGAAAAGTGAATTCTGTATTAGATTTATCTGATCCAGTTTCAACAAATAATCAATACCAGACAATATCCATATGTGCATCGATGTTTCAATGCTCGCCAACCACGTACGTGGTCTGGTTCCAATTCTCGGTAGACACACTCCTAAACCTCAATTAGGTCCTAGTAAGCTCAGTAAAGATAGAGGGCTGGGTGTGAGGTTAGCTACCCCTCTCTATAGCTGAAGCTTGAAGCCATATATCCCACTTAGAACTCAAAGAAACAGGAAAATTATCTGTAAAATGTCATAATATTGAAGCATGTTTGTTAGCAGTCACAGGGAAAACAGTACTGTTTAAATAACAAAACAGTCGGAAGGTAATACTGGGTTAGGAATGAATAAGCCTGAAAAACCTGAGAGTCTTAGTCCCTGCTATTCATCACAACTTTTTTAAATGGGCAAATACTGGCACCCTATAAACTAGGAGGGAACAGCAACCAATGCCTGGTTGGTTTTAAATGCGTCCTACTTGTTGACGGATCTTGACAGTAAATAAACAACTGTATATTCGTAAATGTTGACTTGTTTGTAACACAGAAATGATGTAATAAATCAATTAAAAAAATTTGTGTCCACTTGCTGAATTAAAAAACAGATTTCTTCACTCCAACAACTACCTACATGCTAGCAAAATAAGGACAGCACACAGAATTAAAATAACACTGCCAAATTAGAAGTATATATATATAATTGCAGTGCAACAGATTCTATGATTTAATACTTTCATCCTTTTTGTTTGTTTGAAAAGAATATTATGTTCTCACAGTGTAGATTTGTGTGCATGAGTGAGGGTCTTAGTTTTTAAATTTATAACCTCTGTGCAAGTCAGCATATCGGATTCCACACAATATGTGATATTAATCTGCTTACATCGTCACATAGTAGATTTGTAGAAGTCTCTGTTCCCTCCACCCCCTTCCGTCCCCCACAAGTTATCTAAAATAAATTTTGTGCAGACACTGTAATACAGACAGATGTATTACAACTTGACAGAGTGAAGTCTATACATCATCACTATCCAAAATGAACATTAGACATACTTGCTGTTTGTTCTGTATTAAGTTTAACTTTCTGGTATAGAGGTACACGAAAAACTGTGTATATATGCGCACAGGCATATTCAAATACATCTACAAATAAGCCATACTAATCAGAGAAAGTTTCAGAGAAAGAGACTAGCGGTTGCAAATGAAGTCGCACACAAACACACACAATACATAACTTACACAATTTGGTGATCTGTCCGTTCGCAATGACCTAATTTTCTACACAATTTATAGAAACCTAACTGTACATTCTCAGTGTGCTCTTGCAAAGAAAAAAGCAAGACTCCTATAGAACGAAACTGTATATCAAGTTGCATGCTGTAGTAGAGAAAAATTATGAACTTAAACTAATAAAGAATTTATATTTTGGGTTTTTTATCTAGGGATCTGGGCTGATTTCAATGTAGATTTCTTCACAAAACAACATCAGTTAGAGATTGTTGAAAATCAAGGAGAACTGGACAGCTTTTTCTGGGACTCTTCATCAGAGTGCACCCACGGCCACATCAGTGATCGAATCTGGAACCTTCATCTACATTCAAAATAATCAAAATCCCTACAAAATCCAATAATCTGAATATCGTTCTGCAACTGACTGATGGTTACTGGATGGATGTTATGAAGCCATGCTAAGGAGTCGTGGTCAGTAGGATCCACCATTTCAAGGGGGAAGTGGGTACTCATCGAAGGCATCGGTGAGGGTAGCAATATATCACGAATCGATAAAAGTTGGAATTAACAGGTCATTAAGTTCCAGCCCAAATGGCTGAATGGTCAGCGAGCCTGACCCAGGCTCGGTTCCTGGTGTGACCACAGACATACACTGCTGAAGTGTCCCAATCCAGGACACAGTTACCCAATGATCTCTAACTGATGTTGGTTCGTAGTGAAGTCTATGTTGATAGTAGAGATTTTTTGCTTCAGTAATCTCTGCATATGTGTATACGTGAAAACTATCAAGTGTCTAAACAAGAAGTGTATGGCTTTGATTGGGGAAGGTATGTAAATTACTTCAGGGTAGACATTATAACAGTCCTATTTTAATCGCAGAACCACTGAGAAACAGGAAGTACTGGATAATTATTTTGTCCTAGAAGCTGCTAGACTTCAACCTAACAAACTGATCTTGTAACATAACTCTTGAAGAATAGTAAACACAAACTGCTGCAATTCATTGAACCAGCATGAAACAGTTGTTTTGGTGAAAGTGATACATTTTTCAAGTTTGACATGCTTCAATACATAGCTGACAAGTCTGTGATTTCAGGCGCATATCTCAGAAAAGAGCACAAGCTTTACCGGAAATCGCAGACATAACTTGCTGATGGTTACCAATAGTCAGGTGACTTAGACTGAACAAGGCTTCATCTCAGATGACTTCTTACAAATCTTAAAGTACAATCCTGCTATTTAGCTTAGTTGTTACAATGGACAATTGACCTATAAATTTAGATTACATCTTAGGAATAGGAAGCAACAGTCTTTGAAAATCCAACATCTCTGTAAGGAAATTTTGTACACAGTTGTGTTGACCTGACTTACATTGCATATTATCTCTCCGTCATGAGGAGGGTATTTCTACAAGCATACGAAAAAGTACGTGAGGTCTAAAATTCAAAGCTGGCTTACTCATTAACTAATTCAGGCTTTGTTAAGCTAATCAACTGATTTGATCACTGATCTTCTGGAAAGCTGAGTGACTCATACAAAACAGTCGTCAATATAACCACATCGTACGCATTATTAAGTGTTACAGCTGAAACAATGGGTAGTATTTACAATATTTTCCAAAATAGGATTTCCGTTAGCATGTACGGTCACCTAACTACAGTTGGGTAGAGATAAATTCATTTTAACGGCGACATGTTTAGTGGAACTTGTGAAAAGTTTTCGTTTAAATTGGCGAAACTTGTTGTTGATTTAAAAAACAAATAAGATCATGAAAATCAAACCGAGAATTTCTGTGTAAAAGAGCCTTAGAAACATATGAAAAGCTCTTCTTAAAGTGAATCCTTTTAAAAAACAACAACTAATTTTCCATTATCTTGTATTATCATTTATTCTAGTTCGACTTTTTCAATATCATCTAAGAAACTATACCTATTTACCTTAATCCCCACTTAATGGTAAAAACTCATCTCTTTATATATTTTCATTCCAGTCTTGAATAAAATCGATTCCAATTAGCCTGTGCTTGACATTAAAAGCGACATTTTATTCTCTACACTTTATTGTTATCATTATTATTTACTTAGCTTCTCGTCAGACACAATTTCTTATTATCAGTTGAGTCTAACCAAAAACACTGACCCATATAAGTAAGTAGGTAAGAGTGAATGACAAGTTTATGGCAACAAAATTAGGTAATCTTTAAATAAGTAGCCATAATAATAATAACAGGATAGCAACTGACTTCATTTGATTCCTGAAATATATGTATCTAGCAGGAATAAATACTACTCCAATAGATAAATGCGGGTTAAACTCCTATTCTTCTCCTTCTCTTGTGTGTGTGTGTGTGTGTGTATTGGCGTCACTTTCTTCCATCACTTTACCCTCCTCTTTGTTTCCCTTATTCTAGTTTTTAGTAAGCTATTTAAAAATTTTAAATGAACATCAAGTGGAGTTATCCTTTCAAATACCAGTAGATATCATAGTAATTATATAACTGAAGTGGTTGCATTTAATATGAACCTGTTGCTGAGGTTTTTAATGGCTTAAGTAGGCGACTTTTTATTCACTTATTATATAATAAATAGAAGATTACATTGAGGTAGAAATCCATTAAAATGCTGTTTTCACTGTATTTGGTTTTCTCTTCGACTCGAAAGGGAAGGCGAGCCAATTCTTTATGACTGACAGTAGTTGTATCAAGTTAAGTGAAGTGAAAATAATATCGACATGGATAAATTTTATTTATTGAGATGTAGTGACCAAATTACTAACCACGATTATTGGGATAATTAGGGAAATGTTCTAATAATCTAGAATCATTGTTGATTAAACTTTTCAAGAAAATTTTGGCAGGATTTTAGTGAATGATAATAGTCACTCTGATATACTTCGAGTAAGTCTTCTTTGGATCATCGTTTCATTTATTTACAATGGCTGAATTATGGAGACTTAACTAGTGGACACGTTTCAGTTTAATTTCAGTCATTGTGAGGTAAGAGTGTGAATGGCAATCCAGAAAGCACGTATAATTCCATAATGGTGTATAATATTGATGTCAACCAGGAGTGTCTGCCAATCAGATGGAAGTGATCTAAACACCGGAGAGCCATTTCACTCGTTTTCGGGTTGAGCTTGTCAGACTGCCGGATCAGTTCAAAACATACGAGAATTTTAACTAAACGTTTGGGCAAATTGGTAATACATGGAATTAAAACTGAAATTAGCGAATTAAACACTCCAAGGTAAAAGTTCCCCATGGAAATGGCTTGGCTGTCTAGGGTGAGTTAAATCGGCTAAACCACTGATGAGTCCGACCCCAAGGGGACGAAACGGCTATCTCATGTTTGGAACACTTTGTTAACAAGTTGGTGAGCGCTACTGGTCAATGTAAGTGGTTCTCAACTACTCATTTTATTCAGTATAATTAGAATCTTTATTAGATATTGTTGATTGGTTTTACTTCTCTTGTCATTTATCATTCAAGACGTGCTGAGGTTATTTGTCGTTTTGATTAATAATATGCAGTCTTCAGATGAAGGTAAGGAGACTAGTGACAGTGGGACTAATGTTTTTAGGGGAAAAACAAAACATATAAATTTTACATTGGTTTCACCATTCACAAATAATGCTGTCATCAATTCTGCATTAAGTATATTCTGTTTGTCATTGTCCATTGCTTATTAGATTCCTCTTAGTGCCATCTCCTTCTTCCTACGTTTCTCCTTCAATGGATTTTCCACTGACACAGAAATTATTGCTGCTTCCAGATTGATCACAAGGTGGCTTCATCTTGGCGAACTACTGAAAAGCAGGAAGAACTGCACAACTATTCTGTCCTTATTTGAGATTCTTTAGCTGCAAATACCAGTGAACCAGCCAGTGATCGAACCCAAGAACTTCAGTTTGCAAGGTGAGCTCATAGACAGTCCATTCACTGGGACGGAATTCAATGGCTAATGAATTCTAACCTTGTGCCACCACCAACCACTGTCATCGGCGAATATTTGTCCTCACACCCAGCTTGGAGAAATCTGTTCATCACGTTTTCCCACCAGAATTCTAAGCAACTTCATATTGTAGTCAGTCACCAGTTTGGACTAGACTAATTTTCAAGTGTTGCTGCGCAGGGATTTGATTGACGTGGTTTCATCTCAGTGGTTCGACGGTCTACAAGTTTGCCTTGTAACCTCGACGTCCAAGGCTCGATTCGTGGTTGAATGATGGTTAAGTGGCGCCGAATATTCCCAAACAAGGACAAAACAGCCGTACAATACTCCTTATTTTTCCAGTGGCCCTTTAACCGATGTCAGTTCTTGATCAATCTTGAAATCATTCAAAACAACACTTGGATGCTGCTGCTTTTCCAAAGACGTTACTCTGCATACTACTTATAAGCAGCACGTATTTCACAGAAAAAGCTATACAGGATGATGGCAGAGAAATTGTTGTCTTAAGTATGCATCCAAAAATACTCTCTTTCTGAAATGCTGTGTATTCATTAAATTGGTTCTTTTAAGCTTTATCGGCGAATTAAATACTCCTTATAATCATTAGTAATTGGAAATGATAGCCTAACTGCAGTGTTCGAATTTAAACGACCAACATTCCTGGATAGAAACATAATTATACTCTCAGTTGTTCTTGCTCTTAGACTGCACCCACAAGTTTATCAGCAGTTTAAAAAGTACTTACGTCAGAACGACTGAAGGAAGTGACAGAATCATCAGATACACAGCCTTACCGTTTTTTCTCTGAAGCTAGACATAAACTTAATGCTGTGAATGACTTTATACTGATAGCAAGCATTTTTACCTTAAGAACGTTAAAAGAAAAACGGCTGTTACTTCCACAAACAAACGGTACTCAGTATCCAAAACTGTGGCTTAATTTCAGCCTAAAAGCATGCTGATTATGACATCACTGTTGATAATTCATTTTTGATCATTTGCATACAGCTAATGAAGGAGCAGAGTAAGACAAGCCTGCTTATAATCAATAATCATGTTCCACATTGTGGTAGACTGAATCATGTAGCAGTGTGCAGTGAACCAATGAAAAGACTCTAAAAAATCTCGACTTCATGGATAATTTATGCCTAATGTCGCACAAACTCGAAGTTCTATGGACGAAGACCAACAAGTTATCAGAAGAGGCTGCAAAAAAAGGACTTCAGATGAACATAGAGAAAATAGAGGTTATGAAGATATCAGGCCAACGACAACAAACAGCAGTCACCATCAGTGGGAGAAATTTAAAGGAAATCACCTATTTCATTTATCCAGGCAGAATTGTCTCAACTACATGAAGACGGTAGGGAACAAGGTGTAAAACTGGGTCAGGATAGAGTCGGAAATGCAAGATGGGCCTTTATTATTCTGAGTTCAGTGTAGAGATATACAGCACTCAGCATATGGGAGAAGTTCCGAATTTTCAACGCTACTGTCAAGTCACTGCTCCCATATTGTTCTCAGACCGTGGGATACCAAAAGCATTTCCAGGAGGCTACTGCAGACCTTCATCAACAGCTGCCTTCTCTGGCTCCGTGGTGAAGATCTTATGGGTATCTGGAAAGGAGAAGCAACGGGAAAATGTGGCAATGAACCAACCAGAAAGCTATCGCAGAAGGAAATCAAGATGGATTGGACGTACACCCAGAAGACAGTTAAGTGACATAATGCGTCAGGTCCTCAAGTAGAACTTGAACAGAAAACGACTAAGCAGCCGTACGTTTTAGATCGTGGGGGGAGGAGATGAAATCTTGTCAACCAAAATAGACTTCAGAGAACAGACTGAAATGGCTATGTAACGTTAAAGCCTTATTTTCTATTTGCACTCTAGAAGATGAATAGTAATAATATAATTATAACAAGGCGGGAACAACAAAATACACCAAAATTTATTTTATCTTTTATGCCTGATTACTCTTGCTTTCTTAAAATTCTTGGGAGGAACTAATTTTATGAAAGAAGAGGGACTTTTAGTTCTCCCAGCCTTTAATTTGAAAGGCGTTAAAAAGTGACATTGAGTAAAGAATAACAAAAAACAAGGAGAACTGGGTACTTGTTTCGCTGTGGTTTGCAACTTTAATAAATGAAAACCGGAAACCCAAAGAAGAATTGCACAGAAGACAGCTAGACACATGACCCCTCAACCATCTGATCTGAGTCCAATGATCCACAGCTTACACCTTTTACCGGTTTGTGAGACCATAGTCCAGTACATATTGACTAATTTACCAAGTAGCGCAGTTCCAGTCATGTAGCCTCATGGTTTCGGAATCTCTCCTTCTCTGAGCCATGAGTGAATCAACAAAACTGTTCAGTGCTTCTTGATTATCAGTGTTTCTGTAAACTGTACAAGTTCATGACTAAGTCCACTGTAGAACTGATCAATTCCTTTCAGTTCATCAAAGAAGACAATCATGTAAAATTAATACCCAATGGTACAAAAATACTCAGTTTTCAATACTACTACTACTACTTCTTATTCCTTTACGTTCCGATTGGAACATAGGGCTTCAAGCTAGGAGCTTTGAGGCTGCGGTAGCAGTGGTTTTATTTTTTACAGGGTGGTTTTCTGTCCTCATGCCAAACATTCCCTCTTTACCGGCCTTACTACCGGCTTGACAATGCTTAGGAGTGTATCAGCTAGGGATTGAAACCAGGACCACCTGCTTGGCTGGAGAGCGCTCTACGCTGAACCGTCGACGCTACTACTAATAATAATATCGGTCTTTTATTTATCAATTTTCTTCACTTTGATTGGTTATTCTCTATACTTAATTCGTTTTCATCATTGAATTGTTTTATCTCTTGCAATCATCATGTAATCACGTACATGGATTAGAGCATCTAGCGAATAATTCAAAGTTCCGGTTAAATCAACTGTTGTGAACATTATTAAAATATGACAATTTACAAAGAGTATAGGTGTGTGTTTTCATGTGTGTTCGATGAGTTGGTAAACACATAAATTTATGTTTATTTGTTCAAGTGATTAGAAAATAAATTCAAACTGTTTGTTGATGTCTTTTCTTCTGTTCATGAAAAGTCACAGGAATTTAAAAGTCACTAACTAGACCAATAAACATGCATTTAAACAAAATTAATTCCAGTTAATCAATGATTTGTAAGGTTAATCTCACCACTTGAATCGGTAGCACGTTGCAAACTATGCATATATTAGGTGAAATATTTGAAGTGGATGGATCCTTGGGTTACATATTATGCTTCCATTCTCTGCTGAACTGTAGGCCGTTTATGTACTGAAAAATTTCTCTACTGATGAGTAGCAAAACATTAGAAAACTGTGCTATAAGATTGTCTGTGTGTTCTAACAAAACTTTGAATCCAAAAATCATGAACTCCAGTGCATGATATTCGCTTTGTTTTATTCCCTGAAGTCGATGGTTTAATTGTAAATTTTTCAGTGTCCTTCAATTCTAACTTTACAATGTACAGAATATGTTAAAAAGTCTTAACAAGGCTTCATACATCCTTAAATTAGTCCGGAAATTACCTAAAAACATTGATACACTGAACAGATATTCTTTTCAAGAACTGACAGTAGCTAGAATTCAGGGGTCATTGAATTCAGGTCCAGGAGGCTGAACAGTCAATCAGTCTGATATCGTAGCCTGAAGGGCCTAGGTTCGGTCTCTGGTGGAGTAGTGGGTGCGTACTGATGAAGAGTTCCAAGCAGTAACGAAACGGTTGTCCAGTACTCCCTGGTTTTCAGTAGCTCTGTAATTGATATCAGTCCGTGCTCAAACATCAAGGAATTTTCTAGCGATTTTAATTCACCATTTCTTTGTCATGAATTCCTGTGTGTCCAAGTGTCTCATAGTACTTTTAGTAATCCAAGTTCGATACATAAAAAAGTCACAATAATTGTATATTCACCAAAATTTCTTGATATTTCTAATTAAAATGAGGTAATTCGTTGAATCATTCATTAGTATTTCAATGTTAGAAGGCTCGCCAATGACTTAGGTAGTCTAGATCCGATTCCCGGCTGACTGACGTACTGCTTAACCTCCCCCAGTTTACTAGCCCATAGAAAGCTGGGAAGAGATGAAAGCTCGAATGTGGGTCTAGTGAGCCCACCTACTAAATTACCTTATTCCTTGCTTAAATTTAACAAATTGACAGTGAAATAATATAGTTTTAAAAGATAAACAGACATTGACTATCATACTGCGAAAAGATTGGTTCTGCAACAAAAGAGATTTTAAAATGTGGTGAAATAGTTTTGACTGGATTTGACAATAATGTAGAATTGTAAATATTATTCTTGAAAGAATATCACTGATGATAAACTCCATTTTTTAAAAGAAAAAATAGCCCCAATTGAGTACATTTTAAATAGAATGAACTCATAATATTCAGACTTAATTGGACATTATAATGTTTATGAATTGATACTTCCAATTACTGACACCAAAGGATAAAATATGGTAGATCAGTAACCAGATCATAGGTAATTAGTGTGACTCTTTAGTCTTACGTGCAAATTAAACAGTATCCGACAATCTCATAGAGAAAATGAGTTTTCTCAGGTCTTTGTATATACCTTGCCGTTAGACGCACAACTGAAAGTAAGCAGGACATTCTGTCAACTGACTCCTATTGTTTAATGTCAAGTATTATCTTTGAACATTGATATCAGGTGAATTAATATGTGGTAAACTGATGGTTCGAGAATATACATAATATGAAAAAGGAGAAGGGTAGATTTCGGAAGCTTTCTTGACAGTCAACCCTAATGATAATATTGTAAGATTTTTCACCAAGTATTTGTGAGCAAATGAATATCAAGGTCATGTTAATTACCATTGATTCGCTAGTTGTGAATCTATTAACTTACAATTTATTAGCTTTGCCATGTTGACGATGTAACAATCCACACAATAAAAATCTTTATTGTTACAGAATACAGTTTCTGGCTAGAACTCCTCTCAGCACCCCACTTCGCAGTTATTCTATAAAGAAAACATTCCTAATGAATTCGGCAGTGTGGCGATACACTGCTCTAGGGACACCTGGTTCATCTGAAGTCTGCGCTTGTTTGTGTGTGTGTGCTACCTAAAAAAGAACTTCAAGATATATATTTTCATAAAAATATTGGTAGAAGGGTTTTCATTATAACAGTGAATAGTGTATTCCAGTCCCGATAAAAACATTGTTTCCTACTGAAATGCGAAAATATGGGAGTGGAATCTTTGGGAATGTTAGAGAAATGAATTTTTTTTTTATAAAAATTAATCTTTTCAATATATTTGATTGTTAGTAATATTTTTAAAGAAATTTTATCTCTTGAATGCACTTCAGATACACACTATTCGACTGAAAACAAATCACCAAGCAGCAGTAACACTGGCAGTATCATGCTGAATAGACAGGTCAATGATATTGAACACTTGATTCATTCATTAAAAGATTATCAAATCCCACATTCAACTGAAAATAATAATAATAATACTCTTCAATACAATGAAACAGATAATCGTACATTTTGTACAAGTTCACTGTCATCCAATATAAACAACAAACAAGACAGTAATTCATTTAAACGTCTAATAAACATCAATACAAATATTTATAATAGTAATAATAATAATGACAGTAATAAAGATGAATGCAGAAATATGAAAGAAACTATCCAGTCATTTTGTTATGATGATATTCATGCACAGAAAGGTTGTACAGATCATCAGTTAAATGAGGCAAGCCCAAGTAATAATGATTTCTACGATGGGTCACTAGAATCCCCATTATCAAATGATGATATGATAGCTGATTCCAGTGTGTCCAGTATGATGGGCAGACGAAATAGGACGACATTTTCAGAGAAACAAGTAAGTACTTAAATAACTATCTATTCTAGATAGTTTAGATCGTTTTATCGTCTTCGATAATATATATTGCTATTGGAAGTATTACTTTTTCACGGGATGAGGTTGCTAGTATCACGCCCAACCTTCCCTCCTTTACGGACTTACTTCTAGCTAACAAACAAGGTAAGCTTTAGTGGTGTATCGACTAGGAATCGACCCCTAACCCAACGAGCAGTTTACCATCTAACCACTGATACAACATATATATATATATCTGATCAAAAATACTTATTCTAAAAGTAGATATCTAAGCTGAAAGATAAGACTACTTAAAATGGAGTTTAAGATCTATCACTTTATATGATAACTCTTCTCAGCACTGTACAGAAAAAAAATTGGCAAAACGAAGGGCATATATTAACAATAGAAAAATAAAGGTGAGGTTTCAATGAATTCATCTGAATAGATATGTACAATATAATCCAGCAACAAGCGATCTGTATCAGCGGTTGAATGTGCTCTGAAAGCAGACTTATTAACTTCAAAGACTTTGTCAGTTTAAAAACAGCTTTCAAGCCTGAATTAATACCCTTTATATACAGCTGTCCAGTACTCCCAGGTTTTTCAATGGTTCTCTAACTGATGTCGGCTCATGATGAAATCCTCCAACCTTTTATGTATAACTTAACATCGAAAAGTGGTGAAATACTTATTGATTTAGTAGACGAAGACTTTCTCATAGTATTCATCCTAGTAAAATTATTTATTAGGCTTTAATTTTTAAAAAGGATATGGTCAAAAGATTGCTGTAGACAAGTCGGGATTCTGATTTGTGTTGAATTGGTCATTTTCCTGCGTAGACCATATGAAACCAATGTAACGTCACTAGGTGGTGGAGTTAAGGGCAAGAAGACTTATTCTTGATACATTTCTTCCCCTCGATAAACTCGCACAAAGCAACAACAACAAACTGAACAGGTTAACATGAAGTCATTTTATTTCATTGGTTCTTATCAACTCCAGATAACCTAAAACAATTCTCCACACCTAATTAGTGCCCAACTTCCGTTTTCGATTCTAGAACACTCCTGTAACTTTTTTATATATCAGAACAAACTTGACATATGTAGTTATTTACTCTCAACTTCCTGTATATTCAATTATGCAGTATTACTGATGGCCATCTTAGAGTTATTTAATTAAAGTATATACAAATTTTATACATTGATGCAGTAAGTGTTTTAGGTTGTATGTAGTTGACAAGATTCAACTAAATAAAGTGATATCATGTCATCTTTCTCAGTATTTGTCCAAAAACATACTCCCTGGTTGAATCATCCACCCACTTAATGGTAATCCATGATAAATTAGTGTATTTAATGTTGTACAATTAGAAGAATTCTGATAAGAGTTCTTGAACTTAATGCCAGACATAACCGTGTAAGCATAAATGCATGACTCCGTACACTAATGACTGCCTGATATCAGTAGCTGGGTACCGCTCATATCAGCAAGTAGTGCTTGCTTGCCTGATCGATGTGATCTAAATTCGGAACAACCGTTTCGCTCATTTGGGATCGAACTCATCAGTGGTGTATCCATTTTGACTCAGCTCAGACAGTCGAATCAAGTAAAACCATCCAATATGGTGTCCAGCTACTCAAATCAATCAACTAGCAGTATGTAGTGTCACGCATTTATACTTGCTTTCTTGATTACCACTTATGGTATTAAACAGACCACATACAGTGGTATGTTTTCAAAGGAAAGTGTATAAATTACAAATTGCGAATAGCAAATCCGATAATCCTATAGGATCGGAGATAACGTTCTCAACTACGAAAATAGATAATTCATATTTGAGTTACACAGGCATCATATTTTTCTTTTGTGCTACATAAAGTGGAAGTTTAGTTTGGTTTTACAATGATTGGTTACATGTTTTCAATGATCAGCAATGTACCTACATTGCATTTAGTTCTGCGATAGACTTCAAATAAGCTCATTTCTAATAATTTACGAGCAGGTGAATGAAAAAGGGGGTCATGTGTGAACCTTTTAAGCGCATTTATTGCTTCCATGTCCACTTTAAACACGACAGAAACGCAAAAATGAAGAAATCCTTCTGGTAGTAGTGAAAGCTTATTGAATAATTAATGTATAAGTCTTCTGGTTTACCTGTTGTCATCAGACCAATCAGCTGAATGCTAGTGACTCTACATTAAAATAAATCGATTTATACGATCTGACAGGCTGTTGTTAAAGCAATTCAAATACTTTTGAAGCAGCTATTCATTAACCTACTATTTATAATCACTTGCATCTTAATAAGTGCAAATGAACTGATTTCACGTCTTAGTTGTACCAGTGCAACTTACGAAGATGTCATCTGAGTTAACTCTGATGAAAAAAAAACTAAAAAAAATATTATTCTGAATGCAATTAATAACACATCATAAATTAGCTGAAATTGAAGGTCGCAAACTATTATGTAATAGCTAGTTAGTATCGTCACTACCGCGATGTCCTGAAAACTCACAAACTAGAAGGAAACACTTAGTCCTCAACGCCTCTCTTCTAATTTCTGAAGAGAATTTTGTGTATGAAGTTCTAAAACAAACCCCTCTCTAACCAAAGAAGACCACTTTACACCTAATCGAATCTGCACAAAGTCCTACAACTCAATATGTATTTCTTTTATTTGTAGGTGGAATTTCTTGAATTAGCCTTCCAACATACACATTATCCTGACTTACAACTTCGCGAAACACTTGCTTATCAAACTAAGCTACCTGAGTGTAAAATTCAAGTAAGTTTATGGTTTAATTTAATTTGCGAATAACATCACTATTTACTTATTTTTCCCGTCTTCTCATTGCTTCGAGTTTCGAGTAGAACATAGGGCTTCATATATCGGGGTGACAGTGTTGCTAATCTCACCCCCAGACTTCCCTCTTATTTTTGGGTTTACTCTCTGCTAGTACATCAGATGAGGTTTAAGAGGGAGTTAGTCAGGAATCTGGTCTTGATCTCTCGCATATTTAGTGACTGTTCTACCGAAAACCACTGATGCACAAGGTCTGCAATATTCAATATTCCCAGCCGATCATCCATGTAGGTACTAACCAGGTCCAAGGCTGCTTAATTTCAGTGATCGGACAAGAAACAGTGTTTTCAACGTGGTGTGATCGCCTATATTGCCTGTTTTACCTGTATGTAATTGATTTACGAACACATATCTACAGTGTTGGTCACAGTGTGAATAACTAATGAGTAAATACTCCCAAAGGTAGAAAAAAGCTCCAGAAGGATGAGGATCCTCCTCATTATTGGAAATATGTCTTATTTTTAAATGCGGACAAAATTTAGACCAAACTCTCTGATTAGTGGCTATCAGCGCCAAAAATGCTAGCAGTATTTGGATTGGACACTAGTAACTAATATGATGTGTCTAGTCCTTTAATTGGTGTAGACTGAGTTCTATCAGCCAGCTTTCAATACAGTCCTACATGAGGAAAATAGCGAGATCGAATGGCTCAGTGGTAACGTCTCTGACTGCAGGTGGCACTGGGTGATGTCGGTTCGAATCTCAGAAGGGATATGAGTTCCTTCAAGGTTGCAGATACGCCTTGCTGATTAGTGAGTGCCAACTAGCACGGACCCTTGGTCCAGGGCTTCCTGCCGGTTTTCCCTAGTCATCTGATATGATTGCAGTATTTTATCTGCTATGCACTTACTAACTTAACTGGATGATTTAATTGTTGATCTCTGTTATTTCCACACATTTTTATGAAAGTGCTTCATTGGAAAGCCAGAATATGACGAGCTATTTTTTAAAAACCGTTTTAACTACTTATAAGTAGGCAAAGAGATTTGGCAAATAAGAAATGCATCTGATTGTTCTAAAAGCTTGAAATGTGAAAATTAGTTTGTAGAATTCACGTCACAATTATCACATTAGTCCGTATGAATTGATTAGACAAATCACAAGATATAGCACTGAAGAGACATTACTCTTCCTATATCCACAGTTACCATCTTGGGTTCCGAGTGGAAAATAAGGCTTCAACAACACATCTCCACATTGTTCTATTTTCTGCCGTCCTCTTTACCTGAGTCCACGATTGCAAATAATCTCTCATATCCTCCTCATTACTTGATCTCATCCGTTTCACTCTCGGACGACGCAGTAGTCGCATCCCATTCGAGTTCCACTCAATGGCCTGGAAGGCGATGTCATTCGACGATCTCCTCGATGTATGCCCGATCCATCTCCATTTTTCTCCGACATATATTTATTGAGCGATCGGCTCTTGCCTGTTGGTTTGTTTCCACAGTTTCTTCTTACTAGCATTGACCGACTTGATATTGGTGTTGAATAGAATCCGAATCTTGTTCCCTATGCTGGCTGAGCGAAGAAGATTTCCAAACTGGTTTCAGGTTGATGAAGGCCCACCTTGTCTTTCCGATTCTGGCTGACTGGCTTTGACATCTTCATCCGTTCCATCTGTAGTCGAAACGATGCTGGCTTCCTAGATAAGTGAAGTAGGTAACCTCTGTTAAATCTCTCTCGTTGATGGGGATTGGTGCTGGTTGTTGTTGTTGCTGGTTGATTGGTTATCTTCATCATCTCTATCTTTACCATCTTTTTGCTCACCTGGAGTCCTTTCTTCGCTGCTCGCGTCTTCTGCCAGTTTGTTGCTTTTCGCCCACAAGTCTTCGAGTTTGTGTGACATTACACATATATCATCTGCGAAATCCAGATTTTCTAGAGTCTTGTTATTGGTGGTCCAGCGTATTCCTGTCTCCTCGCTCCCTGTGCCACAGTCTGAAGCATAATCCAGTTCACCACAGTTAAGAATATCATCGGTGATAATAGGCAGCCAGCCTTGTCTTACTCCTGTGTTCACTTCGAACGCCTCACTGAGTTTCCCGTTGTGGATAACCTGACACGTGGCATTGTCATATAGCTGTTGAATGAACTTGATAAAGAGTTGGGCAATGCACTACGTAGTTTTGAAGTATTTCCCAAATTAATCCTCGTTCAGTGCTGTCTGTTGATGGCCTTTTCGAAGTCGATGAATTTGAGGTAGATGTTTGACTGCCATTCTATGCTTTGTTCTGTGATGACGATGCGTAGAGTTGCAATTTGATCACCACATGACTTGCCTCTCCTGAATTCAGCTTGTTTAGGCGGGTGGAGTTCTGTATCCAATGCATCTTTTATTCTCTCCAGGATGATGCGACTCAGTATTTTACTTGGCGTTGACAAGAGTATTATTCCACGCCAGTTCTTGCACAGGCCTAAGTCGCCCTTCTTCTCAGTTTGACGAGGTAGCCAGTCGGTAGTTACCTTTCCTTCCTTCCAAACCTTTTGCATTAATGGCGTGAGCACATCTACTGCAGTCTCTGCATCCGTTTTCAGTGCTTCGGGGCCTGCTTCCTTCCCGGTCGATGTTCAGTAACTTGATAGCATTTAGGATTTCCGCTTTCGTTGGAAGACTAGTGTCCACTGGCAGTTCCGTGAGTGTTGTTGTTGGTATTTCTGGGCAAGTTGCAGGTGGTGGTCGATTCACGAGTTCTTTAAAGTGATCAGCTTATTCATTGCTTTATTTGTTTCTCCTCCTTCGTAATCACGTTCCCTTGAACATCTTTTATTGGTTTCATCATCTCAGTTGATCTCTTCCCAGATAGAGACCTGGTTATCTAATATAATATCCTGAGGTCTCTTTTACCTGAGACCTGCGTGTTCTGCTTCAGTGGCCGGCCAGTGTGTCGTAGAATTGTCTTTTGTCTCTCCTAGCACTCTTCTTTATTCAGTGCAGTATAAATTAAACTCAGCTTCTCCTTCTGATGCCCATCTTTGCATTGAGTCATCTTCTCCTTCACCATCCTTTTCTCCTCTCCTCGATTAGCATCCAGGTAGGTGTCCGTCGACAGCCATTCCTTGTCTTGTCTCTTCTTTCTTCCCAGAGCAGTTGTATACGTTTCCTCGAATACCACCTGCCATCAGAGAGTCCCAGTGTTCTTCCACGCAGGTTTCCTCGGTGATAACACGTAGTGTCTCCGACTTTGCTGTGATCTGATCTATAATGAAGCTATTCCTTGCAGTTTTGTCCTTCAGTTTCTGGATTTCGAACTTGAATTGTGGCCTGTCTGCAGTTGTTCTAAAGGATTTCAGCTTCACCTTGAAGATTCCTTGATCTAGATAGTGGTGTGAGTTCACATCTGCTCCCCTTCTCGACGTTGTGTCCAGCAGGCTGGCTGCGTCTACACTTCCTTGAGTGACACTGAGATGAAATCTATCTGGTTTGAGGTGTATCCGTCAGACGAAATTCATGTTCCTTTGTGTATATCCTTGTGTTTGTACACGCTGCCTCCAATCACCGAGTCATTGAAGGCGCAGAATTCTCCATTCTCATTCGTTTCCTCGAGAGTCTCTTGACCCATGATGAGTTCTTTTCCTGTAATATCTGCTCCCATTTTGGCTTCCATTCATATTGCCCATAAGGATTTTGATGTCACCTTTTGGGATGTTATCCATTACTGTTTGTAGTTGTCTTTAAAAATCTTCCTTCTTCTGTTGTTCCGCGCCGTTTGCAGCACTGTGCGTAGCGTTGGATAATTGCAACTTTCCTTCCTTCCGCGTGAGTTGAATCTTGCTGTCATGATCCTGGATGAAACTGGTTCCCACTGCATTAGGGCTCTGGCTGCCCTGGTGACATCATTATAACACACTGTCCCTCAGTGTGTTAGTGGTAGTTCTCAGGGTGACCTGAATAGATTACTGATCCTCCAGTTGACACTTTTGAAAATCCGCATCCATTCCATCTGCTCTCGTAGATACCCAGCACTTCTGTGCCATATCTTCGGATTTCGTTGGCTACTTGGGAAGCCTTCCCAGCCTTCCTCGTACTTTGTACGAACATTCCACGTCCCCATTCTTATTCCTGCTTTCATCGAGAGAAGACACGTTAGCTGACTGGCTTTCCGAAGGTAGGCTTTCACCAGCCCGCTGTGTCATTTTGCCTCTCCGATTCGAGCGAAGAATAATATCGTTCTTTGAACTTTTTGTATTTATATTATTTTTCTTGGGTGTGGAAGTTACTGTAGCAGTTTGATTGGTTTTGTGGAGTAGGGTTGCTAGCCCCATGCCCAATCCTGCCTCCTTACTAGGGCTTGGGACCGGCTAGAAAACTAGCTAGCTAGTAAACTAGGTGAGGTTCTCATACTCAATAAAAATTAGTATATCTGTTGAAGATTATTTTGAGTCACTGAATATCACCACCTAAGCTTTAATTAACTCAGGTGAAAACAAATAGACAAATTCCTTCAAGATAATCATGTATCAACCATTTATTTCGCAGAAATTATCAAAAAGGTGAAGCGGTTCAATGCACTCATAAGTGAATGTTAGACAGACCTCATTTTCAAATCATGCTGTCCAAACTTCTAACAGCTTCACAGTATTATAAGAATAAAGGGGAATGATAGCATTTTCTCCATTTCTTGCATTCGGAGCGCAAAACAGGACTCCGAACATTGAGGTTTCACAGGGTTGGCATTGTTTTAACGAGATGAGGTTGCTGGCGTCATGCCCAACCTTACCTTTTTCCAGGTTTACCACCGACTAGTAATCTATCTAGAGTTACGGAGCGTGTCGGCGACGGAGAATTGGGTCCAAACCACCTGTGTGGTCTGCAGTCATTCTGCTGTTAAATCACCAACTCATAAAGTTACAGTTATAGTGACAGTGAATCCCTACCATAGCTTTCAAAACTAATTAACCAGACTATTGATTCATCCAGTAGTAATAAGTAGCTTAATTAACAAACCAAAAGAGTGGATTTCATTGTTCCACAGACTACATATAAGTAGTTTGCAAAAGTGAATCATATTAGTATCATAGTTCAAAAACTACTCACTTTGCTTTAGTTTCCGTATCAAAGTTGACATTATCCGGTTTTATAGTTTCTAAATAGCTTTAGACATTTATCAGGTTAGTTTTTAAACTAATTACAAAATGCCACGCGAATACAAGCTATCTGAATCTATGACGTAAGATCAATCGCATCCACTGTTGTTGGCGTTTTTTAGTTATTGATTTTCCGGAGCTAATTAGTAAATTCTCTGGTATGTATAAATCACCGTTGGAAAAGGATGTAGAGAATCAAACAGCTATAAATGTCTCAGTCCTAAGCAATGCGCCATTTTCACTCTCTTCATGACTAAATCCAATTGCTTCAGGTCTCCTCCTTGTGAATATTTTTGAGGAGAGATGAGAATCGAAAACTGGGTACAGAATACTTGGAATATTCGGTTTCAGTACAATAATGAAAAAAAGACGTTCATCACAAGGCCTGAAAGTTTGGTTTATAGTAAGAGGAAAGGAATGGGAATGACCATTGCTGAGGAGAATAACACTTAAATGAAACTGTTTCTTAATTACCAATAAATCTACTTATTGTTAAACATATCGTGCTTGCCATCGAAAATGTTTACCAAGCAGCTTAAACTAAACGTGTAGAAATTTATCTTAAAATATAGGAGAAGTTAGCATCAAAACATTTTCTTTGATCACAAGAAATTTGGTAAACAGATGAAATTACTGTGAATATTCTGTTTCCAACAGATTTTGTTTCTAAATTGATGTAAAAGATAGGCTGCCATACATAAATTACATGCTACTTCTTTGAGTAGCATTAGCTAAATGACAGCTTTAACTACATTCAAGTTAAGAAAGCTTTGGTGAGAAATGTGTAGCTTCCTTACTGATAATCAATACAATATACTTCATACTGCTTGCAAGTGACGCGTTTCACTACTGTTTTGAGCAATGCTGTTCAATCGATTGCAGCTAGAAGGGGAGTCCAATACATGGGCTTTTTCAAATTTGGGATTACTGTCACTGGGAACATCACCATTCAGTGAAATCCAGGAGCATAAAGCTGACAATTCTTAAGTAAGATGGAAAGCGCTGCTTCGATTTCACGGATAGCATCCAGTAACTAAATGACATCAAGTCAATTTTAAGACATCTGTAGTTGGAGCTGGTACTACTAGCAAAAACCGATTGCTTCGTTTCAATGGAGATTTCAAAGCTTCCATGTACATGTTAATCAATGCCTTTAGTTTCTTGAAGCAATAAATGTAGTTTTACAGACTCTAAAAAAGTTTACACAGTAATCTATGAAACCCAAAAGAACATTGATACTATCGAAAACCTCTTATTTGGCAGAGCACACAAAGTAATTGAGCTTTGTTTTCAAATCTTTAACCTGAAATGACTATTTTTCAACTATCCTCTTATTTTCTTTTTAGGTTTGGTTTAGTAATCGTAGAGCTCGTTGGCGTAAACAATTGAGTTTTAACTGTCAGAATACATCAGATTCAGTCGTTCAGTTGTCTACACCATGGCAACTTTTGACTAAATATCAAAGACCTGAAACATTAACATTAAAACATGAAGTACATCCTCATCATCAACAACAACAACAGCAACCACAAACAACTCTTCCATTATCTTTTTTGAATAATAAAAGCCATTTGAATGATCAATTAACACAACAACAGTTAAATGTATCAACTGATCTATTGAAAAATGAACATTTGGTAAGAACTGGATACAGTTCAGTAACAGACGCGGCAAACACAAGTAGTGAAAATCACATCACAAATTCAATGGGGAATCAAATAATCAATGATTACTGTAGTGCACTGATAAAACTGTATCAAACTACTCAGTTAGTTTCCAATAAAATGAATTGTCATACAAATGATGTGTTTGATGAAAATATTTGTCGGGGACAAAATGAATTAAATGATACTAGAATGAATTATCTATCACCTCCAGTAGATGTTAAGCAAGCACGAAATACAGCTGAGGCAGAGTATGAGCGTCTGCTGAAGACAAATGATGTTCATTTATCTGTAAGTATTTCTTGATAAACTGAATGTTATTTTATTTATGCGTACTTCTGACTTCCTTTGATATTTCTACTGTCCATTCCAAGCAAAATATTAAGTCGCGTTGGCAGAATAAGCAGCAAAAACAGAACTTCAAGTAAATATAGAGAAGACACAGGCGATGAAGAAATTCAACCAACAACAATAACAAGCACCAATCACCATGAGTGGGAGAAATCTGAAGGAAATCACCTCTTTCACTTATCTATGCAGCAGCGTGTTAACTACAGGCGAATGACACGAATGAGGATATCAGACACCATGGATGAAGGTATCAACGCCAGTCACGATCGGAAAAGCAAGGCGGACTTTCATCACTCTGAAATCACTTTGGAATTCTACTGCACTCAGCATAAAGAACAAGACCCGGGTTTCCAACACTAATGTCAGGTCAGTTCTCATGTATAGTTCAGAGTCACGAAAAGCATTTTCAGCAGCCTGCTGCAGACCGTCATCAACAACTACCCCTTCGCTCCATTGTGAAGATCAGATGGTTAGAAAGGATGAAAAACAAAGAACTCTGGCAAAGAAGCAAACAAAACCTATCGCCCAACAATTATGCCAAAAAAATGGAGACTGACTGTACGCATGTTGGAGAGACCGTTGAGTGACATATCGCGTTAGGTCCTCGAGTAGAACTCGAATAGAAAAGACTAGTCGGGTGTGGGTTCCAGAGTGACATGGAAGAGATCGTGTAAGGAGGAAATAAAAGCTAATCTCCAATTGTGGAGATGTGTTGAGGAAGCCTTATTTACCACTTGGAACCTCAGGGAATAATAATATACATATTATAATAATTTCTGGCCCTAATTGACCAACTCCACAATCACATACAAGCTCCTTGAATGAAAAACTAAATATTATCATTATTTCTAAATTGATTTTACTTGTTTGATGACAGTTAGTATTGGAATCTAGAGCGTGGGTTTTATCCTATTTTAGACTCATTACCTAGATGTGGCTGCATCCCCAATGAATGATGGTGTTCCCACTGAGACTGAAACCCATCACCTATCATTTCAAATGTAATATCGTTAATCTACTAAGTTACTGAGCCATCTCTTGTGCAACAGATATGATTAGCACTGGATAGCACTTCCTGGATTGCGTTGCTTGCTACCAACAAATAAGTGACAGTATTTTTTTGTCTCATTTGTTGTAATGTTACATAGATAGAAGTGTAAACCTTTGATCGCTGGAGTCGGTTGATAAGAATGTTTATACCAGGTTCCCACAGCTAGTATCATTTTCCGCTTAAGGACTGTGAAATAGCTCTTTATTACCAGAAAGCTAATTTCAAGTTATTTATGCAAAATTTATTCTTCTTGCTTACTATGTGTAAATAAGTTACATTATCTATTCCTCCTACTTAAACATCATGTTGAAATCCCGAAAACATAGCATTTATGTTAAAAATCATGGGTTTACATTGCTAAAGAAGCTTCAGACACCGAAAAATTGCAAAGGTATTTAAAAATGTACAGTTATAAATGTCGTTGTCTGGGGCATTTTAACAAATAAAGCATACCATAGTATCTTACTACATACCTTATTGAAATTAAAACAATCTTTTGTCGACAGATCGTAGTTTTCACTGAGATCTGAAAGAATGCCACAGCTACGATCTAAGGATAAAAACGGTAACAGTCTTTTGTTGGAGAGGTAATGTCTTGATTATGACGTTTACTTTGAAATAACGTCATCTACTTCTGAATTCCTCCAATGACAAGGAATGATTTCTGCTATGTAGTACAAGGCTATTTAACATTGGTCACTGATATGATAAATTATGTGTAAACTGTTCACTGGTATAGCTGGAAATATTATGTTAACGACGTCCAGAATATCTCTAAAGCCTAAATCCTTACGTTCTCTTAAATCTATTACCTCCTTCATAATGGTACTATTGGTATAACTAGACATCATTATAATTGCATAAGTTATTCAGGTTGACCTGCAGTATTCCTATATTAAATACAATCCCAGAGAAAAATTATCTTTAAGAAAGGAAGGCTGAGGATAATAGGAATGCATTAGAACAAAAGATCAAGACTATGTTAATTGGCTATCATGAATAGTGAGACTTTATTCTAAAATTGCATTAAAACCTTTTCACCATAATAGAAAAAAATCAGACCAGCTGAGTAGGATTAATGATATTCAGTTAGGGAACTTGTGGATTTCAAAGAAGCTTTCATGAAGAATGTGGAAAGTAAAAAGTACACTTCAAGCACATTATACCACTGCTCGGCACCCTCTGATAGTTCCTTGGTTGTTTCCTTGAAGTTCTTGTGAACAAATCTGATTGACTGGGTTAACCAAATAGGGAGGCAGGAATGAGGATGTCAAAGCCAGCCAGGATCCAGAAAGCAAGGCAGGCATTTATTAGCCTGAGACCAGTTTGGAGATATACAGCACTTGATGCAAGGAACGAGATTCGGATTTTCAACACTCATGTCAAGTCATTACTTTTATCTGCCTCAGACACTTGGAGTGGACGTCACGAAAAGCATTTCCAACACGCTACTGAAGACCCTCATCACCAGCTGCTTCCTTCACTCAATACTGCAGATCAGTTGACTGGTCGGAAAGGATAACCGATTAAGAGCACTGTCAGAAAGCGAACTAGCCACCAACCTATCACTATACAGATTTAAAGAAGATAATGGAGGTGGATTGGGCATACGCTGAGGAGACCGTTGAGTGGAATCCGAACGAGAAGTAACAAGTTGGTCGTTTAAGGATGACACGGTGGAGATCATGTGAACAGGAAATGGAAACCAGTTGAAAGTGGTGGCAGATAACTGAGTGCAGTTAAGATATACCACTGATGGCCTATGTTCCATTCGAAACACACAGAATGGATAATAATGTTTGTGTATGTCGACTAAATGTAAGAAGTGGAATACCTTTTGGACAGAATCTAATAATTTAAAAGCTAATCTATTTGTCATGCATGTAGAGTGGACAGTAAGACATTCTAGTAATATGAACTGGCTGTTAGTTTAATGTTAAAATGGAATCCAATGTAGCTATAATACAGACAGACAGGCCACTTATCGTTTGTAACTCCGAATCTGGTGGAGTATTTTCGTTCAGTTGTGCTATTAGTAGACTTTTTATCATCAAAGTTGCAATGGAAATAAAAGATGTGTTTGTTTAAATGTATTCTATGCCTATTTTCTTAAACCTTTTTGTAGGGTTACACTAACAACAAGTGCTCAGATGATTTAAAACTTAGTCCAAATAAATCATTAAATTTAACTCAAACCAAAAATTCTCATCCTAATCAAAAACAGATAATTGAAGCAGAGAGTGGTAATTTATCTGAAATACCAATTCATTCAGAATCTTCTACAATTAACCAATCAAAAGTTGATCGTATTACTGATGTAAATGATGAAACAATTGAACCAGATTCAACAATGGATTATCAAAAATCACCATCTAACTCATCATTTATTACAACAAATTCATAAAATATTCACCTTTTTTCATCAATATTAAACGTTAAGATTCAGTTTTCTTATTGTACAGCGAACATACTATTTATAATTTATATGCATACATGTTTTATTGATTGATATTTATATTTTCCCGCTTATTTAATGTTTTAAACAATCTGTTTATACATTGTACATAGAACATATCTTCATAACATTTTAGAAAGATGACTGTAATTGCTCATTTTTCATGAAAAATAAGTTAAACAAAATATACAAATTTAACCATTGTTTCTAAAACAGATGAAAAGAAGCAACTTTCTTTGTTTTATTATTGTGATAATACAGTATCGTTATACTAGTAACCAGAGTTTGACTGATTGTATGTCATTCATAATTTCAGCTAGAGAAAGAAAATACACCAATTTCGACCGGAATTTTGATTCACAACTTCCAATATTCTACCGATCGAATAAACAGAAATTTGCATGTGTATACATATAACATTAGATATCTATCTGAAAGGCTTTAAACTTCTCTAAAGGAATTTAACAGAAAAGTGTGTCTAGTTGAAATTGTGTGTACGTACGCGCATGTGTGTATGTCTATAAATCTATACCGAATCTTTAAAGCCAAAATTGAACTAAACACCAAAGATACGTTAGTCTATACTGTCTTGATTTATTGAAGTGTTTATAGCTCTAACACACAAGAGCTACAGTTATTTACACACAGAGATACTAATATACAGTGAATTGAAGCCAAATAATGGAAGAAAAAATGTCACGTCTTCTGTCACTAAAGGAAAGTTTGTGACAGTATTGTAAAATGCTGTGTGCTGACTAAATCCAGTTTGCAGTGTAGTGAGTATATAAGTTGTAGCAAAACAAACTTTCCGCGCTTTTGTCTCAATATAAAACGGAGGCGGTAGATTATGATTTGAATTTCCTCAGGCGGTTCTTAGTCTTATGTGATTTCGTATCACTTAGTTAGAGGAATGCTGTAGTCATATCACATGTTAATTTCGGTTATTTTAAGCTGGAATACCTACTGTGGTATTCGCTATACTATGAACGAAAACACCTGGCGATAGTTTTTATCCTCACCCTTTTGCAGTGAACATAGTATATTTATAATATTGTGATCTGAAAATTCATCGTGATTTCCTCTGAAAATCAAACCAGTCAAACGACTATTCGGTGTTTACATCACTTCGATCTGGTTGATAAAGTCCACTTGATTAACAGGAGCAGTTTCCATCTACTCACACTAATCAGTAGCATAAAACAGGATCTTGCTTCAAGAATTTACAAAATTTCCATCTGAAATATATCAAGAAATGTGTGATAAATGTAAACGGAATAAAGTACAGTATTACTAAGAATTAATTCCATTGGTTGTAGTTTCAAAACTGTTTTCCTTTCCTTTACGTTGCGAATGGAACACAGGACTTCAAATTTTGAAGTCTCAGTTGAGGAACTGTTGTTTTTACGGACTGGGGAAGGGTTGCTAGTCTCACAATCAACTTCCCCTTTCTCGAGTTTACTTTCGACTAGTATGCAAGATAAGGTTTGGGAGTGCGTCGTCCAGGAATCGAATCTGGACCCCTAGTGTGTCTGGAGAGCATTCTATCATCGAATTACCGACGATGCCTTTACACTGATAATAAAATATCTAAATTCTCAAATTTAAAATAATGCAACTAACACCTGTATGACTCAGTTAGCAAGTGAAATCTTCTTTGGGTTATATTTTCTTCAGATAAGAAACACATGCTGATTGTGTGATTACATCACCAGTGTCAATAAAACTGCAGAATTTTATCAATGAAGACTTAAGCCATTTCTATCCTATAGGCTATTTAAAATTTTCATTTTGTCGCAATGTTGAAACGATAATTCATAAATCATTCTAATATCTACTTCCGTTTGTCCTTGTTGTATTGATAAATAGATACGCAAAAATCTGATATTGTCCCGTTTGTCTATTATAAATGATTTTCATCATCTCTGTGTTTACGACTAAAAATTAGGCTTATTTGAAAGTTAACGGTCTATGCCCCTAATAAGTCATTTTGATTAAGCCATCTGATATAGGCTAAGTTTGGCAGATTGATATACATGCAACCAATAGAACAGCTGTCAGTTCCACTGAAATACTCGTGTATTTTACAGGAGTTCAACATGAATTGTCAACGCTTTTGAAGTCATAAAACGTGTCAAAACAATTTGACTGAGTATTGGCTTTAGTAGCTTATACTTAAGTGGCCAGAGCCTAGAACAACTTATTACATCACTTGTTTATAAATATTAGTGTCGGTAAATTGGCTTCCAGATATAGGGGATACGTAGATTTGAATATAAATGTCAGAAGTATACACTGAGGGATCATCAACATATTCATGACCACTAAATTGATTATCTATGGTCCGTGATGGTGTGGTGCAAAATTAATATTACAAAGAGATTTTTAAATAGCTAGATTGCTTCTGATGAAACAAACTGTTCATAAAATACCTATGAATAGGGCTCTATACGTTTCATTCACGCCTATTTGCAATTAATTTCAGATAATAGGTAAGTCTTTAAAGATATCATTGTATTTTCTTTTCCCGAAAAGACATTGAACAGCATACTGAAACATAGTGAGAGAGAGAGAGACATTGAAGGTGAAACGAAAACTTAGTTCACGGTAGAATTCACACCAGTGGCTCTATCAGATGAAATACGAATCCTTCAGTGACCGAGATTTTCATTCCTTTCATCAATCATCATCCATTAAATCAACAACACTCAGTCAACCAATCCAAAGCTATGCTACATTATCATATTTCAGAAACAGGAAATTTTATGTTTCGTCTTTGGTTGGAAACCAAGATGTTGAATTTCGCATTCAAAGATATTATAGGTGCATCATTTAGGCAGGAACTAATTCCATTCAAAAATAACTTTCACATTACACCCAGCTGTGGTAAATTTTGTACAGACTAATAGATAAATATTTTCCTAAATGAGTAGCAAAGTGCCAAGTTACTTGCCACTTTGAATACAAACACAGACTACAAGTGTTGAGTACTAAGATCTAAACTTTTGAAGTAAATCAATGAGAAAATATTAAGAAATAGTATTTATTGGTAACAAGTTCACTAATTTAATTTGCAATTAGTTGTGTTCTCTGAGCTGGTTGGTTTAATTGCGGAGCTTTCCTCGTCCTTCTGGACAACGTCTTCAGCGCAAGTTTTAGCATAAAATGAACTGATTTAAGTTCTCCGTGAATGATAGAATTGTGTCTCCTGGCAAACATCTTCGTGACTGGTAGTCAATTTACATTGTATTGATCATTTTTTATTGACTTGGATTTTTAACTTTCTCGTTGTGTGATTTGTTTTTCATTAGTTGGTAAATTTGGTCTATATTAATATGATTGTTAATCGCTGATTCGCTTGAGTACGAGGCTTCTAGGAATTCTCTGGCACTTTTGGTGTTTCCTCTGCTCAAAATTTCGACATACTTGTGAATAAATAAAACGAACACTTAAGGGATCGCCCATAACAGGATTTATATCCGGGATCCATCATGCAAAGATTAGAATTAATAGCTCTACCTATAATTACACCAAAACTCTGGGTACGTTACGTTGATGATACATTTGTAATAGTTAAAAGAAATGATTTGGAATATACCCACAAATTGATACACAACATATTTGAAGACATCAAATTCACAAGAGAAGAAGAATTAGACAACAAAATTCCATTCTTATATGTCTTAATCGAGAGAACTAACGCAGGAAATTTAGAAACACAAGTATTTAGAAAATCAACGCACACAGACCAAATACTCAATTATAATAGTAATAACCCAATTACTCACAAAAGAAACAGTGTGCAGGCATTGTTTAAAAGAGTTCAAACACACTGTAGCACTATTCCGGTGTTGAAAAGAATGGAGGAAAAGTACCTACTAACTGTCTTCAAAAAGAATGGATATCCTCACAATTTTATCAAAATGTGTTTAAACTCTAGTCATAACACCAACAAGAAACCATCATCAAAGACTACAAGAAAATTCATCCTACCATATATGAAAATATCTCTGAAATAACAGCTGGAATATTAACACCGTTTGAAATAGATATAGCACACAAGCCAGCACAATCACTTCACTCGATATTGTGCAAACCGAAAGATCCAACAGAAAAAGAAGATAAAATTAAAGCCATTTACACAATAAACTGTATGAGCTGTAACAGACATTACATCGGTCGAATCAGAACACAAGAACACAAATTGGCTATAAAAAGACATGATATATATTCTTTCGTAGCAATGCATGTGGATAATTATGGACACCAACTTCATTGGGCCTTCTCAAAGTCTATAAAGTTGAGGTAGAAGTTTGATTGCCATTCCATGCTTTGTTCGATGATGATGCGTAGAGTTGCAATTTGGTCAGAACATGATTTGCCTTTCCTGAATCCAGCTTGTTATGGTCGGAGTTCTGTATCCAGTGCGTCCTTTATTCTCTCCAGGATGATGCGACTCAGAATTTTACTTCGCACCGACAGGAGCATGATTCCTCGCCAGTTCTTACAGAGTCCTAAGTTGCCCTTCTTTGGTAGTTTCACGAGGTAACCTTTTCTCCAGTCAGTAGGCACCTTTCCCTCCTTCCAGACCTTTTGCAATAACAGAGTCAGCATTTCTGCTGTCGTCACTGGGTCCGCTTTCAGTGCTTCAGCGGGTATTCCATCTGGTCCAGCTACGTTTCCAGCTTTCAGAAGCTTGATTGCATTCAAGACATCAGCTTTCGTTGGAGGATTCGTGTCAACTTGCAGGTGTGTACGCGCTGTTGCTGATATTTCTGGACGGGTTGCCGGTGGTGGTCCGTTCAAGAGTCCTTTGAAGTGATCCACCCATTGTTTAATCTGTCTTTCTTCCTTGGTAATTGGGTTCCCTTGGCTGTCTTTTATAGGTTTCACTTGTGTTGATCTCTTCCCGGATAGAGACTTGGTTATCTGATATAGTGTCCTCAGATCCCTTT